TTCTGCTTCTCTAATAATATTATAAAGCTGAAATCTAGTTAGCTACTTTTGCTTTTTATCTGTAGTCTGGATGTCTATTAAATAAATTACACAGCAGCTTTATTTTATAGTAAGCTTGTTAGTTATTTATATTATAGTTAGGTAGTGCTTCTAGTTAATATTCCTGGTACTGCTAATTCGCCTGTAATATTTAATAATTCTAAGTTACTTGATTGCCTGTGGAGCAGCATACTTAATTAGGTTAAAGAGTATAAAGACTAATATAACTTTAACTCTTTATAAATTTTAGTGTGTGATATCAGTACAGGCAGCTACTATGCTATATATATTGTATATACTTACACCAACTGACTGCTTGCTGTGATTACTCAGAATAAAGGCAGTTACTATATATTTAACCCAGAGTAGATCTAAGTCTAAAATTATATGAAGTATTCTTTTATATTAACTAAGGCTCTGGCTTATAAATTTGGGTATATAAATATAAAGAAATATATATCTAATAATATACAGAAATGTTTTAGTCTTTTTAAGAATAGAATATTTAATAAGGGCTGCACCTAGTTGTTACTAATTAATAGTATAGAGAACAGTATCTTTCTTATTAAGAATAGTATTCTTCCTCTGCGATATAACAGTATAAAAGATATAAGACTTATTAATAGGAGAATTCATATGGGGTTTCCAGAGGTAGAAATAATTTAGTGTGACTAGTTCTTAGAAATCCTCACGCAGGAAGATAAATGTAATAGATAATAAAGCAGATAAGTAGATTGAAGGAAGTTATCAGGTTTTATATATATGTAAGTATTAGACTATCAGTTATCTACCTGCAGAACTGTCTATTTACTACTATCTAGTCGGAGTGTATATTATATGCTATTTCCTGATATTCTTCTGTATTATAACATGAAAAAGGAGTCCACAAGTATTGTGTCGAAGATTAAATTTAATTGTGAAAGATGCTAGTACTCTAAGTATTTTCTCTAGAACTTTTTTGGTGTTTCTTTTCTATATCTAGAGGATCAGCAGATAGTCGCAGCATTCATGACAGGCATACCTGGCAGTTATTTGATGGTTATCTCATCGTTCTCACTGCCATTCCGCTGCAACAAGAAGCCAAGATATTGAAGCTATCTCGACATCTTATCACGGCAGCACACCCTTGTTCATGCACCGGGATTCTTATTACTGATTTTGGTGTCGGGTGATGGGTGATTTTTGCCTGGGATCCTTGAACTGCTGAGCTTTTGTATTCAATTCTGCACTACCAGCCTAACTTTCTCTCTGTTCTTACCGGCCGGGGTAGTATTCTTCTCCGAAAGAGGTGTCGTTCCTGATTGCATCGAGGGTCCCTCATTCTTGGCCTTTTCTTTCTTCGACGCAAGCCGTTTGTAGACAAATTTAAGCTACTTCTGTGTATTTTTGAGCGTGGCGATGTCACTCAAACGACAGTATTTTAATTTGCACGGGTCTTCTCCTGACCTCTTCGTTTGTATCATCAAGGTGCAGAAGCCAGAAGAATACATGCTGCTATTCGATGGTGCTAGAACTGATCTTCCACTTGATGTCATCAGAGAATTCGCTCAGCCGATAGACGATCAGAGCATATTTAGCTGCTTCCTAGTGTTTGTCGGGCTGTTCTGATGTGACGTTAGTACTAGATCGTCACGTGTCGCACACAGGTATATGTCCTATCTCTTACTTTGATAAAAGCTATGCAGGTCACCGTATCGATCGATTGCAACAGTCTCTACCTTGGGTGAAATATGCAGGAACCAGGTGATCTCCTCATAGGCCTCTCGGTACAGACTCTCTTCCATCGTAGTGTGACTGAGTTAGGCCCGGAAAGGTTCCTAAGAGTAAGGTTAAAAACGCTAGTTGAACTGGTCGGAGAGATTGGCTAGGCTCCAATGTCCGGCTTGGAAGTACCAAAGCCCGTTTTGTAGTCACTTAGGAGATGCCAGAGTGCCAGATAAGCAGCGAGGACCTGAGACCGTGGAATAAGGATCCATGATCAGTCACACAGGATGTAAGGATGGAAAACGACTTGCTAGTTTTGCTTAGTGGTGAGCAGGTGGAAGAAGGACGTGGGCTGGTGACACAGGGATTTGATGGAAGAAAGCCACTGACGGGGATTGCCAGCCCGTCCCTCCCGCTCATACGCAGTCACTAGGGGTTACATTGCACAACCCCATCGGAAGAAAGAGTATCTGATCCCAGAACGCAATAAAAGCCTAATGGGACCCAAAGCTGACTTGATTCCCCGCAGCTCCTCACTCATGTTGCCTTTTGCTCCTCCTTGAGGCTCATTGCGCGTCATCTGTGAATCAGGATGGGCCCCAGCGCCAAGGGGAAGGAGATGATTGTGATTGTCTCCGTCCTGGTCGGCCTTGCGTGCCTCAGTATGGCTTTACGATTTGTTGCCAGAGTTAAGCGGCGCACTGGATTCGGGGTAGATGATTGTCTCTGCTTCGTGGCTGTCATATTGATGTTGGGGATGTTGATTGAGCTGATACTGTGTAAGCTTCTGGATGCTCTCAATAGCCTCTGCCTGACTGGATGAATTGCATCAGGGTGTTTCATTGGTGGGAATGGCTACCATTTCTCTGATCTCGATACTAGGACCATTACATTGTTCTATAAAGTGGGTATTTCACTTAAGATACATTACCCTCAGCAGCCTTGTCCTTCAAGCTCTCACTGAGATTCAACTAGATATTCCTGTCTAGCCAATTCACTTATTTCGTCTTGACCCCGGTGATCAAGATCTCCTTAATCTGTTTCTACCGCCGCCTCTTCACCACTAAACGCTTCCTTCGCTTCACCTTCTGCCTGAATATGCTCATTACCGCATGGTCTTCGGGTATCTTCTTGGCCTGTGCATTGCAATGCCGCCCGCTTCGCGCCTACTGGGATATAAATGTCAAGGGACGCTGCTTCAGCGCAACTACTTTCATCATTGTTAACCAGGCGTTCAACGTGGTCATGGACTTTGTCATTCTCGCAGTCCCGATACCTATGATTTGGAGACTGCATCGCTCATGGCAGGATAAGCTGGCGTTGAACGCCGTTTTCGCGCTAGGTGCATTGTGAGTTGACATTGGCTTCTTGCTTTCAGGCTCTTGATGAAAGACTATTATTAATATTTCTTCCCCTTGATAGTGTGTGTTTCGCAAGTATATATCGAATAATAGTTCTATTCTACATCGACCTGAAGGACGTGACATGTGAGACTCTTCATGATAAACCAACACATCGAGAAGCAGGTTGACTATGATTAGATACTATCTACGACGCCACTCTATGGACCCATATCGAGCCATCTGTCGGGCTAGTCGTTTCCTGTCTCCCAATCATCCGCGGAATGTTTCCACGATGTACATCGGCGGGTCACAAACAGCGGACAACTTCAAGTTTAGGGCATTCTTCGACCGGCACAACTTGGTCTGGTGGTATGGATCAGGAGTGTTTTGATGGCCGGAAAGGGCTACGAGGCGGGTGTGCAATTGGGGGGAGGACCTGTCATCGGTCTGGGAATGCGATTGAACTCGAAAATATAAGAGTAACAACGGACATAGAGGTGCAGATTGGGTGATAACCTTTCTCTCGAAGGAATTGTTAAGAAAGTCGGGAATCATTTCGACCACAGTCTATACAAATTAGACTTTAGTATAAACTCTTCCCATCTCTAGTAATTTGTGGGTCGAGATGTGCTAACGGCAAGGGCAGAAAAAGATGGAAGAACGAAGCTGCTCTTGTGTGAAACTCTTTCTCATCCTCTTGCTGTCCATGAATGCTTTCCATAGATGAGAACTATCGACATGATAATGCTCCATATGTATGGTATCCCTCTACGTCTGAGAGGGTGGAGGGGGATGGGGGATGCATTGAGACGCAGTGGCTTCCTAGTGTCGAGCATACCATATCTCCTGCTACCTCACCCGTAAGAAATCATTGCAGTGCTGACAGCAGTGTGTTTCCTATACTAGTCATCAGGGTTACTCAAGGCTGATGCGAGATTGAAGACGGGTTTTGAACAGAACTGTCCAAAAAAAAAAAAAGGCCGCATGATCATGTTCCGCTATATTACATTCAATTCCGATTTCTAAACGCTTTTCATCAGCAGTCATCGCCAAGCTAAGGGCAAAAGCATTTAAGGGATGCAGTAAGCTATATATAGTTTTTATTTTGGCTTTCGATGATTGTCATCAACTTATTGATCGGTACTAGTATGTTGCGAGGTATTCCTAGAGCCGATATGTTCCCAATGGTTTGATTTGGAGAGCACTACGCTTCAAGCCAAAGGAAAAATAGTATATTTATCTCGGATAATATTGTGGTGAGCAGTCCTGCCAAATGTTATGATCCTGGCATGTACTAGAATTGGGTTAAAATGTACAATTATAATGTTATAAGCTTCCAAAACTAAACTCCTATCTCGGCATTCTACATTTTAGTCATTGAAATCCTCCCAGTATACTCTATATCATTACTTAAAGTGACTCAACATGCCAAGAATCTAGCTAGCTAGCTAGCTAACACTTGAAACGGGGTCATCTAGGCCTTGGAGAACCCCTTAGCGTCGAAACATACAGTCCTCGGACAGCCAATCCGGTTAGAATGTCTGTATAGCTCCATCACCAGCACTGAGTCAAGGTGCGTGAGTCACCGAGTTGTCTTTCCCCAGACTCCATCTGGGGCATCAAAACCTGCAACAGGAAAGAAAAAGCCCAGCTGCGTGTCAGGTGACTTCCCCGTAGCGAGCGGCGACATACTAACCCCGAAGCGGCAAGGCCCGCGCCTCAGGTGATCTCCACGTCCACGGAACGCGCAGCCATTGACCAATCAAAGGCCCGGCAATCCGACATCGGCCGGGGAGTGGCAGTCCAACTCCGGATCACGTGCCCCAGAGCAGGCCGATCTCGTCCCCAGCAACGAGTTTATAAAGTTGCAACCGGCTGCTTCCCTCCTCCCTCTTCCCTTTTCCTCTTTCCCATCCAATTTCTTCACTTCCTTTCTATCCATCTCACCCTCTCCCCTCTTCCTCTCACACCCTCTTCACACAATGGCCTCCCGTGGACTTCCCCGTGCCCTCCGCCTGGCCCGCGTCTCGGCCCCCCGGTCCGTCGTGACTGCTGCTCTCCCCCGTCCCTCCCTGGCCAAGGCTGCCTCCGCCGCTCTCCCCCGTGTAACCGCCACCCCCGTCGTCCCCTCCCGCGGTGTTAAGACCATCACCTTCGCCGATGACAAGGAGACCGTCTACGAGCGTGAGGACTGGCCCCGTGAGAAGCTCCAGGAGTACTTCAAGAACGACACCCTTGCCCTGATCGGCTACGGCTCCCAGGGTCACGGTCAGGGTCTCAACCTCCGTGATCAGGGTCTGAACGTCATTGTCGGTGTCCGTAAGGATGGTGCTTCCTGGAAGGAGGCCATCCAGGACGGCTGGGTTCCCGGCAAGAACCTGTTCGATGTCACTGAGGCCGTCCAGAAGGGTACCATCATCATGAACCTGCTCTCCGACGCCGCCCAGTCCGAGACCTGGCCCACCCTGAAGCCCCTCATCACCAAGGGCAAGACTCTCTACTTCTCCCACGGTTTCTCCCCCGTCTTCAAGGACCTCACCAAGGTTGATGTTCCCACCGACGTCGACGTCATCCTCGTCGCCCCCAAGGGTTCCGGCCGTACCGTCCGTACCCTCTTCCGTGAGGGCCGTGGTATCAACTCCTCCGTCGCCGTCTTCCAGGACGTCACCGGCCAGGCCAAGGAGCGCGCCATTGCCATGGGTGTTGCCGTCGGTTCCGGCTACCTCTACGAGACCACCTTCGAGAAGGAGGTCTACTCCGACCTCTACGGTGAGCGTGGTTGCCTCATGGGTGGTATCCACGGTATGTTCCTCGCTCAGTACGAGGTCCTCCGTGAGCGTGGCCACTCCCCCTCCGAGGCTTTCAACGAGACCGTCGAGGAGGCTACCCAGTCCCTCTACCCTCTCATCGGTGCCAACGGCATGGACTGGATGTACGCCGCTTGCTCCACCACCGCCCGTCGTGGTGCCCTCGACTGGTCCAACCGCTTCAAGGACAACCTGAAGCCCCTCTTCAACGAGCTCTACGACAGCGTCCGTGATGGCTCCGAGACCAAGCGCTCGCTCGAGTACAACTCCCAGAAGGACTACCGCGAGAAGTACGAGAAGGAGATGCAGGACATCCGTGATCTCGAAATCTGGCGCGCCGGCAAGGCCGTCCGGTACGTTACTACATACCCCTCCCATAATACTTATATATCAATTGAGCATTCGCTAACATTTCTATTCTTTATAGCTCCCTCCGCCCCGAGAACCAGAAGTAAATCTATTCATAATGTGTTATTAGCATATCCCCGGTGGGAAAAGTTACGATGTACCATGATCTAGGGAATTGTTTTCAGTCGAGTTTCTTATTTTAACTGGGTTGTATATCGGGCCGGAATAAATTTTTTTCTTATTCTTTCTTCATATTCTTTTCCTCAATTGAGTGTCAATTGTAGTTGTGTGGAGTGGCAGTTGTAGGAAAGAGGTGGTCATGAGTCATCGACTAGGAAAATTGCAACGGGCGGCAGATCATCCGGGGCCAGATTTCCCCGCGATCCGATCTTACCAAGTCTATTCTCAAAGTTTACATTTTGCTTGCTGAGTATCAATACATTTGAAATTGATGTCTGGAAATCGGATTGAAAGAGGATAATGAATACAATCTATACACAATGCAACCGAACACCAAATCTATTTATTTCAACGCTTTCATGTCTTCGCTTGGATATTAGACAACGGTATATGGATCTAACCCCAGCATCATAAATCCAATCCTGCAGCCAGCCACTCACTCCACAATCGGTGTTCACTAGTCACGCGCTTTCCTTTTCCTTCTTAGTGCGGATGGCAGGGGCAGGGGCCGGAACGGGGTTGGGGTTGCCCTTCCACTCCAGCTTGCGGGGCTTCATGTACGCCGCCAGCACCTCGTCGGTGACTTCCTTTCTCTTCTCCTGGAACGCAGCAACATACTGCTGCAGCACCTCGATGGTCATCTTCTTGAGCTCACCAGTCAGGAGCTCACCGCTCTTGTAGTTCTTGTAGATCTCTTCCAGCTTGGCGTCGTCCTCCTCGAAGTAGGTAAGGTAGACATAGGAAACGTCGACGTCGGGGTTTCCACCCAGGCGGCGGTGGTCCTCGATGCTCACTTGGCCACCGCTGAAGGCGTACTTGTTGATCTTGGTCTGGATTGTGCGCGATCTGTTAGTATGCAAAAAGCAGATTAGTGAGGGCTAGCACTCTTACCTTGATCTGCTTGGGAGTGTCGGTCATGAAGATGGCCGAGTTGGGGTCAGAGGAGGACATCTTGCCGCCTGCTCCTTGCAGGGCAGTGAGGAACTTGGAGTGGATCAAGGCGGGCTTGGGGGAGGGGAAACGCATGCGGTGGGCGTTGTCACGGAGCAGACGGAAGTAGGGATCCTGGTCGATACCCATAGGGATCAAGCACTGGATGTTGGCAATCTCCTGGGTACGCTCGGTGGAGGGCTCGTCCTTCCAGATCTCAGGGTAGGAGGTAGCGAAAGCGGCGACACACTGAAGGGAGGGGAAGAAGATGCGACCGATGTTGGTGCTGGGGTTTATTAGTCCCCCGATGAAGTTTATATGGAATGGGTAGATCAACATACCTCTCGTTGAAGCCGAACGCACCACGGACTTGGTTGAAAGTGACCAGCTTTCCGAACTCCCAGGCGTTCATGAGGAAGTGGTTGCTAACATACTTCAAGTCGCTGTAAATGAAGGTCTTCTTGAGATCGAATCCCAGGGCAATAATGTCTTTGGCGTTCTCCATGGCGAAGTGCATGGCATCCTCGAACGTTATGCTATCCTTGAACAAAGCCTTCTCGTCGTCCGTAAGCATGAAGACCAAGGGGACGTCGAAAACATCCTGCAGCCACTTGGTGAACTGCAGGGGGATGGTGTGACCCAGATGCAGACTGCCGGTACTGGGACCACGACCGGTGTAGAGGAAGAAAGGCTCGCCGCGCTCGTAGAGGGTCAGGATGCGGTCGAAGTCACGGTGACTGAAGAACAGGCCGCGTCGGAGCCAGCGATGCGGCTTGTGTCCGGTCACCTTCTCGAAGCGCTCAAGGAGCTTCTCGTCAATAATGGAGGTGTTCCATTTCCTGGAATGAGAGGTGGTTAGTGGGTTGTTGCGTGGACAGCAATAAGTGCTTCAATGGCGGGGTAACACATACCGACAGATGGCCTCATAGTTGATGGCGACCACCTCTCCGTTCTCGTCGCGGGCACCCTCCACGGACCAAGGATTGATATCCTGTTCTTGCGCGGTGTGCGACTGCTCCTCGGCCATGATTGCAATCTGTTCAAGGACTGTGGAGGGGGTTTGGAAAGGAAGCGCAACGAGGGGAAGTGAGTCAGGGAGCGACGAGATGAATCTATTCAGTCTTTCTTTTGCCCCTCCTGCCCTTGCCCGATTCGGCCACAGTCACGTGGCGGGGAAGATGCGGCATTGACAGCGCGCTAGTCCTAATCAGGTATTGTTGCTATCGGAGTAAAATGACTGTCCAACATATGCCGCGCAATAGAGATGGCATTATTCTGCAAATTAGATTCACTTCAATTTAATCTCAGCCTTAGCTGATGCTCTGCAACCTCAACTCCTTGCATTTTCCCAGTTTCGACTGTGTTGGCGCAATGCGGGGGTCCGATGGCGGAGATATATCCCCAACGCCGACTCGGATGCCGCTTATCACCCGGCCTTTTCCCCTCTGCCCTTTTCTCCGCAACTCTATCATACTAAGTACTACTATACTTACCACTGAGTCATCGAAATCAGTACTCTACCATTGGAAGTCAGTCTATAGACAATCAAGTCTTTCAGAATGGCTGACCCTTCCGTGCTCGTGCAATCTTTGACTCCTTCAGCTATTCATGATGCCTACTCCCTCATCCAACCCTATGTGCACCGCACGCCTCTCCTCACTTGCCAAACCCTCAACACCATTGCCTCGGCGCCGCAATATGCAGAGGCATTGACCGGCACCTCCTTTGAGGGCCAAGCTCCTGCCAATCCCAAGTTCCGTTTCTTCTTCAAATGCGAGAACTACCAACGGATAGGCGCCTTCAAGGCCCGAGGAGCCTTCCATGCTCTGTTACGACTCATCACCGAACGGGGGAAGGAGGATGTACAGAAACGGGGTGTTATCACCCACAGCTCTGGTAGGCCTAAACTCTTTTGAATGAAGCGACACATTATTTATCGATTCATGTAGGAAACCACGCTCAAGCTCTCGCTCTCGCTGCCGCCACTCTTGGTGTTCCCGCCTACATTATCATGCCCAGTATTAGCACACCTTCCAAGATCGCTGGGACGCGCTCCCACGGTGCAGAGGTCATCTTCAGTGGGTCCACAAGCGTCGAGCGTGAGGCCGTCGTCGCGGATGTGCAAGCCAAGACCGGTGCCATTCTGATCCCGCCCTATGATGACTTCAATATCATCTGCGGCCAGGGTACCACGGCTCTCGAACTTGAGGAGCAGTACCGGGAACTGCTGGCCGAGAAGCCCCACCTGAGCATCCGCCAGGGTTCCAAGGCTCTCGATGCTGTCTTCACACCCATCGGTGGAGGTGGTCTCAATTCCGGTGTTGCAACCTTCTTCTCGGACAAGACAACCAAAGTGTTTGGTGCGGAACCCAGTTATGAAGGTGCAGACGATTGCCGGCGCGGACTGGAAGCCGGGGAGCGGGTTCCGGCAGTGTCGACACTGACCATCGCGGACGGGTTGCGGACACCGGTTGGCTTGTTGAACTGGGAGGTGATCTCGAACCGGAACAAGGTCGCTGGCGTATATGCTGTGACGGAGGAGCAGATCAAGGCGGCAATGCGTCTGGTCCTGGAACGCATGAAGGTAGTAGTAGAGCCAAGCGCTGTGGTGGGTTTGGCCGTTTGCCTATACAACGAGGAGTTCCGACGACTGGTCGAGAAGGAGGCTCCTGAGGGTTGGGATGTGGGCATCGTGTTCAGCGGTGGAAACACCACGGTTGAGGCCATTGGAAAGTTGTTCAGTTAAGAAAGCATGATGAATCTGCTTGGGGCCACTGTCTCAAATCACGTCTGTACAGTGTACATAGCTAGATGGGAAATGTATCAACCAATGTCAACCCCGTCTCTTCCTATGCGAAAGGCGAATTTGCCGCCATTATTTTGTTTTAGGCCATCCAGAATCCTACGAGGCCATTCATCGCGCCTCCATTCATTTATCCATCCGGAAAACCTTCCGCGACTGACAACTTCTTGTCGACGAGGGGCACCGCGCTGCGCATTTTGCGCAGTCATGGTTGGCGGAAAGGGACGAACCGAATCACGTTGAACAACAACTTGTAGAGTTGGGAACCGACCCCAAGGAGCTGGAAGATCAGACCCAAAAGAAGGCGTTTTTGGCACAGAGGGGCGTGGGTTATACAAGTCGTAAGGTCCTGACGGCGTATACGATGAGTTACCACCACGAGCACCGTGGAATCTTCCTTGAGCAGTGGTGGTGTAAACCACCATGCAACCTAAAAGTCGCTGTAATCTTTTCAGTTCCGCTACAAGAGCAGCATATAGATCTGAAATCTGGAACCGTCGTTTCCGAGGACGCTCATGCTCCGAGTCAGCATCGACCCGCCCGATATCTTCCACTCGGGCAATTTCGTCTTGTAATCTATCCTGCCAGAAGAACGCATTGGCACTATCCAGGTAGATAGTATGCACGGGTCTGGTGGAGGACAAATGGCGAGATAAGTCAAGAATGTAGTCATCCAGGTTTTGAAGTGTAGCAAGGAGAGCAGCTGATGATTGTGGACGGAAGACGTGGACATGTTGCAGACTGGCGACAAGCATAGTTTCGATAACATCACTGTCAGCTTCCGAAGAAGTTTCAGATGAACTCTGAGCTAGTGCGTCAATTTTGGCCTGAACAATCCCTCTGACCACTGATTTCAACCGCTCAGCATCAAACCGACCGTCCATGTCAATAAATATCACTGCCGATTCATGCCCACCGAGCGGGACGCCATTGAACACGGATGGTAAGATAGCGACTGCAGCGAGGTAGTACAGGAGATGCGACTTTCCAGCTGCAGACAGCTTGCTCGATATTTCCAGGACCGGTTCTGTGCGGTTGATGTTCAACATCGGCAAACTATGCATGCCTACATGCTCATCGTTGATAAGTTCGCCTTGAGCTGGAGGCTCACCCTCAGTGCCATAGAAGTCTGCTCCCTGGGTATCCCCAGAATGATCATGTTGCAGATCCCCTCCCAGATGTATGTTCTGTGCAGTAGGGGCGGGCGTTGTGAAAACACCCAGAAGATCATCAAGCACTTGGACACCCAGTCTGGGCCTCAAGGCGTCACTGTTAACTATCCCATGTGATAGGTTTCTTAGGTCATGCAGAAGCTTCTCATGTTAGCATCCATTCAGCAAGCTTTCAATAAAGTATCCACAGAGAAAGATAAGACTATGATGCAGAACCATGCAGTAAACCGAAACACCGATGCATACATACCTCGTCAAGTCTCTCCTCATACACCTCCCCAAGAAGCTCTCTCCCAAAGTTAGCAGCCATTTGACACAATTGCAATATCTACAAATGTAGGAAAGCTCGACATTGTCCAGTGAAATAGAGTGTAAGTAGTGGTTGACTCCGACCCTCTCTAGGAGTTGATAGAATCACAAAACCACCGCGGGCTGACCCGTTGTGACGATAACTTGGTAAGGATGGATCGCGGCGCCGGCGAACGCGAACGCTTCCGCTCCATCCACTTTTCTTCCTTTCCCCAGTACCATCTGTCTCGCTCGCCAATATTCCCAGCTGCGCATGAATTGTTCAAGCCACCATACTTAGAGGACATTATTCAGAACCATAACAAGACAAATATATCACCATGGCTCCTCTTGTCCCCGTTTTCTCCGCCGAGAGCCTTCCAGACCACGTCAACATCGTCACCAAGAACTTCCAAGAGAAGCGTCGCAAAGGCGGTCCTGTCGAGCTGGAGAAATGCAAACTGCTGGAGATGGTTCAATACTCCTGCAATCCGCCGCAAGAGGGGATTCCTAAGCCGGGTGTGGTGAATTGTAAGCCGATTGTGAGGCTGTTTCGCCGGTGAGTTACCCTTTCGCTATGGGCTTGAGGGAAAAGCTCAATGCTGACAGTTACTTTGTGCTAGATGCGCTGGCGGATTAACGGTGGAAACGACTGCTTGGGAGCCGATCAGGATAGCGAAAGAAGAAGCGGAGCGCAAACGTGCGGCGGAGAGCAGCTCAACGGCCTGATGGAAGTCTCCTTTCGATTTACATGCATGGCAAGGAGTTGAACTGGCGTTCAGTCTACTGATAATCACGGTGGCAGTTAAGGCTATGTGATTAACCAATTGAGTTGCATTATTTGACATCCTGCTCCATGGGTATCTTCTCGGTTATGCTACGATGAAAAAGCTGAACGCCTGACGCCTCTGCCTATCCTACACCTCATGATGCATTCACCCAGCTATCCACCCTCGACATATCGGGCGTATCCTTTGCACTTGATAGCTTGTTTTCCTCCGTTCGTCGGCTCCCAGATGTAGGCGCCCGTCGCCACAAATCTCTCTCGCAGTTGATGATAGGAGGCAGCTCTATGTTCAACGCCAGCTTCGAGCGGGAGGCTTTATCTGCACCAGCTCCCGAGTCGATCTCCATGGGGCCAGCAGAGTCCGGGCCCGTCCCGGGCTTCTGTATCTTCTTTGCCAGTGCTCTAACAGTCTTCTCAAACATTCCATCCATACTCTCCGCTCGTCGTCCCCATTGCTTCTTATCCCGGACCGATGAGCCAGAGTTGTTGTCTTTGAACGCCGCACGAGCCAACTTGCGCAGCGCCTCCTCGCCATGCCGACCATCTTCCGTTGCTCGCTCTCGAATAACACGCGGATCTTGCTCTCGTTCCGTGAAAACCGGTGTGTGACGATACGTGTGTTTACTGGGAAAGTCGGGGAAATGTTTCGGGATATGGGCGTTGTGGGCGCGATCGTCTTCGCCGCTGAGCTGTGGCCCTAAGGAGGGCAAAGTCTTGAACGAGTCCTCTTCCGGCGGAGGACTTGGTAGGAGGGTGGGGATAGGTTCGACATTTGGATGGCGTTTCACGTGCGGAATGAGGTCGCTGACCGGCACGGACTGTCTTTTCAAGGCATATTCGAAATCCTGGGGGATGGGTTGTATGCGCCGGCTGGAGAGCATCGCTTGGCGCACATACGAGGCGAATCTCAGCAGATCTAGTGACCAAATCCATCAATATCATGAACGATTCCTTCTGAGACCTAGGTTTCCCAACGTACATTCCTCCGTTACCCTGCGAAAGGCGTCCAGCGCTGCAGGGTCGGCGATATCAAATCCGCATTCTTGTAAATACTGCCCAATAGATCGGTTGAGGACATGGTCGATGCAAGCCTCGTCGACAATAGCGGGTTCCGGCAACGCTGGGGCGACGGGACTTTGTAGGCGATGGTGATGGTGATAAGGGCGTTTCGTTCGTTTTACATCAGGGGCATCTGGACCTTCTGGTAGGGAGGAAGAGGATCGTTTGACAGTGGGTTCCGAGGAGACCATGGCGCCGGTGGTCTTGATGGATGGATGGGGAGAGATCCAGAAACGGCGCCAAACACAAGAACCGCGTGAGGTCACGTGTATATACCTGAGGCAGACATCACTACAGCCCAGTCACTGAGCCTCAATGCTCGATTAAGGCTTGATAATACAGAAAGACAAGAGCGATATCTAGACAATTAAACCAAAATATATAGCCCCATAATTATACCCCCTCGTAAGTCGCGTCATAGTTTGGATATCAATAGCCCGTTCGCAGCAGCAACCCACCCTCAAAAGTCAGGCCACTCACAGCCGTCGCTTACTACACGCCGGCCCGGAAAGCTTCACCTCGACTTTCACTCTCGACATCACCGCTCGCTTTCCCTCTCCTCTCCTCTCCTCTCCGCAACCCCCCACCACCACCTTAGCAGGTCAATTCTTGCGCGAATCTCCTCTACCCGTTCCTCGGATCTGTCTGAAGACACTAATATCTCACAATGGCCTCCGTTGCTCCCATCACCGGCGTACGTCCCACCTTTCTCCTACCCAACGCACCCGGGACCACATCCACAACCCCCATGGCCTCCCCCAGATTAGGAACCCTACAAGCTAACATTTTGCACTTCAGATGCTCCGCCGCACCCTGGTCCTTGACCTGAGCACCGCTTTCGGTGAGTCCGCCTACGACCCCGCGCTTCCATTGACCCGAGATGTCTTCATATGATTTCCTTTCCTCCCCATATATTCGAATTGCATACAAGCATTGTTACATCGACATCCGCCCCGCGCGCAAAATACCAACCGGGCCCGACCCAGAAGGACAATTGACTGACTGAATGATTACTTCGCAGGTTTCGGTACCACTTTCGGCTACCTCTGGTGGTACGGTACGTATACAACAGACCTTCCTCCAATCCCTCCTCCTTCCCTTTCCAACAAACCACATCCCAGAAGTAATTTAACAGCCACTAACAAAAAATCACTATACAGGCTTCCACCTCCCCCGCGTCCGCGCCCGTGACGACTACTACACCCGCCTCGAGGCCGAGCGCGCTGCTGCCCAGCAGTAAATTCGCATCGGCAACGCATATGCATACGACTTCGCGCGTTGATTGGGGAACCCAATGTTTACCGTTAAATATGCCGGATGGAACCGGGATGCGTCAGCTACGTGATATGGGGAAGTGGATGTGGGGGAATGTGTAGCTGATAGGATGTGATTGATATTGTTTTCGTTGTCTGGTATATTGCGTGGGTTTTGGGTTGGGTTTCCGGTTGATGGTGCGGGTTGAATGTGTTTGTGCTTGTGTGTGTGGAATTGAAAGAATAGAAGAAGGGAAGAAAGAAGAAGAACGTTTCCTCGATTGATTTTTTCGTCTGTTGTATATACGCTTGTACTCATACATGCGGTTGTTTGGGACTATCTGGTTGGTTGTTCTTGTGTTCGTCGTAGGGAGGGAGATTAAGTGGTTTGTAGGTTGTAGTGAGGGTCAGTATGGTACATGTTACTGGGCAGTAATCTCATAAAAATGTGTTCATTTCTTTCATTCATAAGCAGGGAATCTATCCAGTCGCTAATTAATCCAAGTGGAAATGTAGGCCATGCACGTAAAACTCCCCTAATCAACACACAAACACAGACACACACACAGCATCCACCACCCGCATTATACCCCATGCCCATCAGGCAAGAGCAACTAATATCAACTACCACCTACCAACCACACAGGGCAGGCCAGGCTGGTCCACCATTCACCGCATAACGCGCTCATACTGTATCCCCCTCACACTACCACCACCCATCGATGTCCTAACATTGCGCTTGAACGCCTCCCGGTTCTGTCTCAGATCGTCGGCGGCCTCCTTGTTCAGCGGATCGGAAGCGTTCGGTTCGAGGAAGAGGAACTAAACACAGCGAAAAAGATTAACACCCTCCACAGAACAATAATGATGGGGAAGAAAGGAAGAAAAAAGAACCTACCTGCATCCCCACAATAACCGCATTCAAATTCAACACGGGCTTCCAATCCTCCCTGAGAATATTCAAACACACATTTCCCTCGAGATCAATATTCGGATGATAGATCTTCTGCGTACACTTGACCTTTGGCGGATCATGCGGGAAGTTCTGGTTGACCGTGAAGTTGAAGTGGAAAGCGCCGCCCTTGTACATGCCCTCGTCCGGCTCGATAGTGAGAGTGAAGTTTAGGATGTCGTCTGGGTTCGGGAAGGACATTTTCATTGTACTTCCGAGGGTGAGTTCTTGCAGGTCTGTCTCATATTTTGATTTTGATGTCAGTTGACAGTCCTTGGAGGGAGGGAGGAGTGTGATTTGAGAAAGGGTAGTAGGGTAGGTAGGTAGGTAAGGGACATTCAGACCTCGTTGCACGCGCAGCTGAGCGGCGGTGACCTTCTTCTTCTTTTTACCGGCAGCTCCTTCGGCATTTTCAGCTTGCTGCTGCTGTTGTTTCTGTTTGAGAGGGTGTTAGTGAGGTGGAAGGAGGGTATATATGGGCGGGTTGGTTGGTAGGTGGATGGATGGGAGTCAGTCGCGACGTACCATAGACCATATCTTCAACATCGTGGCTGATCTTGCGGGCTCGCGATCACCTATGTGTGTGTTTGATAAAATATAGAGTTGTTTGTAAAGGCTTGGGTCTAGGGATTTCCGTATGGGATCGCTATCCTAGAGTCTTCGTAGTTGTTGAGTTGGGTGAAGAGGGGAGGAAAGGCTGCGGGGTCCTTTCGTTGGTCGGTACAACTAATCTCCACTTCAGCGTAGAGGGAACGATGGCAAGACAGGAGGAGCCAGTCCTTTATCTCAACGTAGAGAGGTGGCAGGCCACGACAGAAGAAAAGTGTGTGTATTAATGCGTGTGGAAAGGCAGCAGAGTAATTATCAGAGACAGGTGATAGCCGGACTGCCGCAGAGAGCGGGCGGCGGCCTGACGCCATGGGCCACCCATTGCACCACCGCCTGCCCGTACCAGTTGCCACTTAGGATGCCCATATCCGCGGCCTTTACAATGCTCTCTTCCTATCGTTCATTATTTGGCCATGCGACTTCTTGTTATTATGAGGGTTTCATTTCGAACATTATCTGTGGGAATTCCCGCGTAAAACAGTCAACCGATCGCCTTCCACGCCCTTGAATACATCCCATTTCTAATGCGCTAAGAGTCTACAAAACATTGTCGTGCCTGCAGTCCCTATGAAATGTGCAAATCCAACCTGAAACAAAACACGGCCGAACCTGGGAAACAAAGAATAAACATCGTATGTAGAATACAAAATTGCGACAAAAATGTGCCAAGAATAACTCCACGAGGCCTCTGCCGGCCATGAGCAAAGCACCCCTCATTGACAACTTTTCGTTCATTATGCTGCGCACCTTCTCTAGCGGCGGGCGAAGCAACACATCACACCGGTCTTACCCAGGAACCAGCAAGCTCCGATGAAGCGGAATAGCGCGACAACGGCGTTGGACCACAGTAAAGCCTGGAAGAAACGTGATGTACGATCGGTGGCAGAGTTCTGCATGAAGCCGTTAGTTTCGTCTTTTGGAACATCGGGAGTCTGTTTATTGCCGAAGATATACATACCGTGAAGCCAAACTTATCCACACCATCGCTGGTGATGCAAACAGCCATCAGAGCGTTACTGAAGATCCAGAAGGTTACCAGTCTCGTACGGAAGCTCTTGTAGGAGTCATCCAAACTCTTCTCCTCCTTCTCTTCGGGAGCCACATAGGGTGTCAAAGCACGCTTCACCGTAGCTTCAAACTGGCTGTCAATATCGGCTTGAGGCTTGTCAATTTCCTCAATGACAGTTTCCTTGCCTCCTTCCTTGGTCGTCTTCGCGGAGGGAAGAGCATCCGCCTTATCAGAACCCTTGGTACCCCAGGACACATCGTGCCAGTTGCTGAAGGCATACACGTTGAGGATGTTGATGTAAGAAGACTGCACGGCCATGTACTGAGGGAAGGAGGTGAACATGTGCCACGGGTCCATGTACATGAACGAAGCGACGAAGTACAGACCGAAAGTGGCAGCAAGCGCGATGATAATGATACCGGCACCGGTCGACCCGAAGAACGAACCGAGGAATGCACCAACACCGTGCGTGGTGTCGAAGTCCATCGGAGCGCTGCCGCTAAAAGCGCGGACTACCAGGTAAAGTGCATCGACGACAACGTAGAGTTGAATGATACCGAAAACAACGAAAGATGCGAGATACGAGAACCGAGAACCCTTGGGGCGGTTACCCAAAGCCAGAATGAACTGGAGGAGCAGGAAACCAAGGTAGGCATATTTGACGATGGTGTTGACGATGGGAGTTGCGGTCTTGCCAAAGGGGAAACCAGTGTGACCGTTGCTAGCGCTAGGAGTACCGACCAGGTCCATGATGACCGATGTTGTAAGCCAGTAGGAGGCTGTTGCTAAGTCAGTAAAGTCCTCAAGTTTGTGCGATGGTCAAATAGAACCACTAAACGTACCCAGAGAGAACCATGTAAGAATCGTCGAGAAAGTGTTGTACAGCATCTGAATATGAAGGAAGAACATCCGAATGATGTTGTGGCCACTCTTATACATACGTCCGAAGTGCATGAGCGAATAGATACCGGCTGCGAAGGATCCGTTCAACCAACGACGACGCTGCGAGATGAACTCCGCAGCACCTTCAGGCACGTCAGTTTCACCTTTCGAGGCTTTGACATATGACAAATGCCACTTTGAGCCAGCCTTTGCAACCAGCTCGAAACACAAGATACGGTCCTCGGCCAAGAACATGTTCTTCTTGAAAATGTTCATTCCCTCAATACCCTTCTTACCCAGCTGTTTGGAGAGAGTATGATCACCATGGAAATACTGCTCCAGTGGGCGGCCCATGATTGCACGGAATCGGTATGCCGAGAAAGCACCAGGCAACACACTGACATAGCCGAAAGAACTCTCCAAAGGCTTGTCCAGAATGTTACTGATTTTATATTCAAAGTTCTGGGCTGCAACGAGAGGGTTGACTAGGTTTCTCCAACCCTTACCCAACATGGCGTGAATTTCACCACAAGCACCTCCGAGATCTTTGTCGTTGTAGAAGGCCTCCCACAGGGCCAGAAGTGACTTGTGTCCAGGCTTGGTACCAGCATCGAGAAGAATGCAGACCTCCGGGTTCAGGATACGGCCGAAAGCGTTGAAAAGCCATCTATGAGAGTTGATTTTTTTGCTGTTCTTCTGCTTCAAACAGAACATCATCTGAACCGGGGGTAGTGTGCTGGGGCCGTCATCTGTCGGGCGAATGAGCTGCTGGTTGGGGGTAACGGATAATTGCGTAGTGTATTCGAACTATCAGCTGTTAGCAACTGCACATATGTATTTTCTGGGGTTTTCCATACAATGTGAGCAACGGTTTCCTTTCCATCGACATCACGCTTCATGACGCCATCCTGGTAAATACCAACGGTGGCCAGAACATCCAGCACATCCTTATCACAGGGGTCGATACCATCGAAAACCAGGCAGACCACAATCTTTTGCCAGGCCGGCCCACCCTTGTTCCAGAACTCGGACTTCTTCAAGTTCACAATGTCACGAATGTTTTGCATGACACCATGCAGCGTACGGGCTGTAAGGGTCTTGTCTTCGTTGTAATACGTGATAGCAATCAACAACTCGGTGTGTCTGTTGTACATGGCAGGACGAAGGTTATAGCCATTATGAAGGGTAAACTCATTAGGATCACATGTAGCCGCGGTGTCTATACCAAGGAGAATTCTCCATTAGTTCCGAGAAGCTGCATGATCGGGCCGTGCGGTAACTTACATCGCATGTGTGTGAATTCTTCGCTTCCGCCCTCCAGGTCGTTCCTATACTTTGCCTGGATTGCATTTTGGATAGCACTAGGCACCGGGTAGTCAACACTCAGGACTGAGCCCTGCACAAGCTTGACCTTTCTGGTAGCGTAGCGGCGCAGACCACCACCGCCGCCGCCACCACTACCTGCACCTCCAGGGGCCTGTCTCTGGCGCCAAGCCTCTGTTGACGAGGTTTCGCTACGAGCATAGGGTGAAGCAACACGGCCGGGGACGCCAAAGGCAGCCGCGGGGTTCTCTCCAGACTGTGCAGAGTAAACCGAGCCACCTGCACTGTAGGGATCATGATAACCCGCATCAGCAGCATATGTCTCGGTCAAGCTGTATCCAGAGGTGGGCCGAGCCGGGGACAGATTGCGCTGCTGGGGGTCATCAAAGGGACCTGTGAACGGGCCTGTTTGGCTCGATAGCAATCCTCTAGATGCTTCTTCTTCGTACTGGAGATCATCAAAGTTTTGATGTTAGTTGATTGTTTCCTCCAGGCGCGATGTCACACGGCCACTAGAAATGAGAACTTACGTTGTTTCCGGCCGGTAGATCCTGGAGTCGATGACCACCGTCATCGTAGCCGGGAGGCGAGTGATTACCAGTGCCTTGGTAGGCCATGGTTGATAAACGAGATTAAAGTCGTAATATGTGTGAACTGAATTTGGACGCTCAAGCAAAGCCCCGTGGGAACAGAATGCAAGGATGGCGCAAGAAGCAATGAGGCGTGAGGGTATCAGGGAAACAAGGAGCAAGGAGTGCACCGACTGGGGAAGTCAGACAACGGAGCAAGTAAATAAAGCGGGCAACCACCCCAAGCGGAGGGAGGAGAACAAACAAGCGCTCAAATGGCCGGGGATGCGCGAGAGGGTAGAAACGAGCGAAGGGGGAACGAACAGTTGAAAGGAAAACTGGTCGAAGGGCGCGAGCAACAGCAGGAACGTGAAAAAGCCGCCAGGGCTGAGCAGAGGTAACCTTGCGATCGCAGGTGATGGATGATGGAAGAAGCTCGGGAAGCCCGTCTGACCGTGGCGGACAAGAAGGGTTGGGGTTGTTTTGGTGAAAGGGTTTCCCAAAACAAAGCTGGGAGGGGCAGGAGGAGGATGAGAAGGGAAAGAAAGAGGAAGAGAGAAGTGAGACTGGGCGGGATGGGGATAGACGAGAAGGTCTCAGGATAGAAAAGGGTAAAAAAGAAAAAATTAGGAAGAGAAGGGAAGAAAAGGGAAAAAAGGCCCAGAAAGGCGCGACAAGCTGAGAGCGACAGCTTTCCTTTCAAATGGTAATGGTCAAGGGTCGCCCTGGCGGTTTTTTTTTTTTGGTTGGCAGTGTTCGAGACGGGGGTGGAAAGTCTTGGGGGGGGTGGTGTGGGTAATTGGATTCCTAACCAAAAGGCTGGATACACTTGAGATCTCCCTGCGATCACGGCGGATACCGATGATGGCTGCTGGCTTACTAGTCGATCAAATCCTAATTATTGTCACTTGTCTGTCTCTCATGTCTTACTTGTTGTCCTTTGAACTACCACCTGAAAAGTTGAAGATAAAAAGAGTATTCCTAATTGTTCACAGGTCCTTGTCCTTTCCATTCACCAAATAAAATAAAATAAAAAAAGGAAATCCAAACACGCCTTGTTGGGGGAAGGGAATGAATTGCTGGGCTGTTTGGCCATTTCCTCTTTGGTATCCCCTCATATTTCTTCTTTTGACCGCAAGGTTGGGCAGGCTATTGCCCACGGATCGTCTCCTGCATCATATTCTTCCATCTTTCCTTCCAGACTCTTTCTCCTACTTACTTACTGTGGACAGAGCGAGTAGAGCCACTCGTAGTAATTTTTCCCTGTCAATACATAACGCCCCTGACTGTTACAAGTTGAGGGCATTGTTCTGCTCCCCCTCCTTGGCTCTTTGCTCCGCACTTCCAGTGTTATGTATTTAAAATTATCAAGGGTCTGAACCCTGATTACGGGCCAGTGGATATGGACCCTGGTCCACTTGAGTTTCTTTACTTTACCGCATTACCCTGAAAACACAACCTTTCCCGTCCCGTATTGTCATCGTATCCCTGCCAGGTACCATGTAATACCCTTCCTTAGTTGGTGGCTGTGTGTGGCATGGCGGTCAAGTACCTAGTACTAAGTCTACACCGTGTTCTATCGAGGATTCCGATGGATATCATTCATTCTTGCCACCCATGGAACTTCTTGCATTGCTATCACGTCCTGCTCGTATCATGCAGTGGTTATTAGACGCGTGCTGCAATAACATCCAACAATTGGTAATAATGATGTCGAAGCATAACATAAGGTGGCTTGACGATAGGGAGTTGAGATAACTTCCAAGGTCATGTTGGCCTTGAAAGTATGGGCATTCCACATCCCTCGCCAGCATAACTGGGCCACCTACAACAAACAACATCAGCCACCAATAGTCAGCAATGGACGGGCCCTAAATCTTCAGATTGAATTTCCCCTTCCCGGTAAGATCACAGATTCCGCTTACCTACTGTAGAGTGCTGTCATTGATCTTACCTAGTAGATTGCTTGTTGCCAAACACGAAACATCGCCCCCCCAAAAGTGCCCCCAAACTGGCCCCCATACTGTAGTGCTAGCTGCCCGTCTGCCATAGTAACCAGTAGTCAAAGTGACCTATCGGAGATCGGAGAACGGATTGCGGCTGGTATTGGAGAGGTTTGGTATCGCCGAAATACAGGACATACGGCGAATGTTTCAGGGGGCGGGGCTCACCCAAAAAGGTCTAAACTCCCTAAAAACTCCCCAGCCAAATATAGGCTTGTGGGGAACTCAAGACTCCCTTCACTAGGGGCCTCAAGACCGTGTTTATCAGCCGTTGGTCAATCAGGAGCCACCCAGCGACGCTAGCCTGGAATCCTTAATTTTGCCAAGGTCACACTGGATCATTGAAAGACAGTCAAAGCCCAATAAGCGGTTGGAGGGGTCATGCTCACTGGTCAGCCGCGGTTTCAAAGCGGCTGGCAATTGTTGAGAGTAGTGCTGATATTAGGTAATTGCCAGCATGTCCACACACACTCACATCCTTTTTCTTTTTTCTTGGTTTGGTTTTTTTCTTTTTCTTTTGCAAGCCATCATTTGATGTCACTGGTCAGCTCTCTGCCATGGTCAATGATCATCACTGCCACAGAAAGCTATGGCGCTCAGGGGACTAAACCCTCATCGGGGTTAGCTTCGAGCTCTCTATATCCTATCTTTAGCACCCGGTGACAACACAGTCGCCCTTGTCCCGTGAATCGCGAGTCAGACAATGTGGCACCCTCCAAAAGCGCGACAAAGTCACACAGAATTTCCCTGGCTCGCGAATCGGCGTCCCTGAAGCCCTGGACTGGCAGAATTTGCCTCTTTTTTGGCTATATTTTGAGTAGCACACGAACGGCGGGAATACCGGTTCTCTTACATGAGAAAAGTCGCCACGCTGGAAGGTCGTCGGGTAGTTCCGCTTTGTATGAACCTTAGAATGTGATTCTTACTTCACGGGTTACAACCGATATTACAAACTGTGGTCACTACCCATCCGCTGGGCCGTTGCAACCTAATCAAATTAATACGATAAGATTGCAACGTAGTAGTACCGTGGCTTAAGTCAGTAATAAACAAGTAGCAAAATATCTTCATCACAAATTCCCGGTATTGTTTTCCTAGCAATGCTTAGTATGTGCTTAGTCTGTGCTCACATAAGTAAATCTCCGATCACTGAGTTGTCCCGCAGTACACATACAGGCAGTGAGGAGAGTTACTTGATGCAAGATCACATGTACGCGATAGGCTCAGATCTATACTACGTATACACATGTGAAAGCCAAGCAAACGCATGTACTAAGTAGAATGTGCGTCGTGAAGTGCATCTATTGCGGCAGTGTAGTATACATGGTAGTTATCCCACTGCAGCCACTGGGTCCATTTACTAGCGGCGGGATATATATAGAGCAAGACCCTCGGTACCACTACTATCACTTAGTCCCAAAGGCTAAGCGCAGAAGCATTCACTATTGGCCGCTTGTCTCGGGAATGAGAGACAGATCGTCAGCGGCTACTGGGGACTAAGTAACGACTTCGGTTGAGAGTAAGACATAGAGCGGTGTATTAAGACGAATACGGAGATCCTTTCAACGAGATGATAGCACCGTCGGGGCAAAGCTCAGGGGTGGAAAAAGAGAGCCACAGAAAGGGAAGTAGTACTTGAAAAGAAGACCCATACAGGAGAAGTATGCATATCGTAACGAGCGACGGGCGCAGTCTCGGGCTGTTCTGATCGTGCATGACTCGTGCGAAAGTTCGATGCATGTACCCTTTTGCATGCTTCGGGCACTGCTGGATATGCGCGTTGCGGTGGATGCTTGGTAGAATATGCTTGTTTGTACGGTGTACTACTAAGGTTGCTGTTGTTTTTACCATATCGTTGTATTAAAGCTCAGCAGCTGACCTAAACGTCCTTGAGGAATTTCTGAAATAACGACTCGATCATCTACTACGTAGTAGTACCAATAGTTGAATTTCATTGAAGTGCTTAGTATTATATATTATAGCTGGTGCAGAAGTTACCATGATACGATCTTTCAGTCCATTCATGCAGAAAAAAATCGTTCAATGTTAACCATTGTCATATACTAAAATAGGGCTACTATAAGAAGAGTACATAAATTAATTGCTGCCACCATTTCTTTTCGATGTCTATTTTATCAAGCTTAATTGCAGATAAATCGGATAGTAGCTCTTGTTTACTGCCTGACTCAATCCAATTCAATCAATTTCTTGGCAGTAATGTGAACCCGTCCTACTGCACAAACCACGAGCACAGGCTAGCCTCTTATTTTCTGCAATTTATGACGCCGCAGAGACTGGCTTGCCCTCTCCTTCCACAACCAGAAATAGGTATCAAAGACTCCATACCGCGAGTAGTTTGTCAATCTTAGAATGGACATCCCTTTCCAGTACGCTCGAACTTTTGATGTACCCTTACTATCAGGTGGACAGTATGCAGCGAAGAGTCGAGACATGAAGTGAAGCGGAGGTACATAGTACTCCTACTACCTTACCATGATAGAGATGGATTGCCAATCTCGAGCTTTCTGGGTCAAATCCGTAACTATCTACTTCGAAGAGAGGAGTTCAGGAGGTGAAAGGCCATGGGTCAGGCCAGATAAGTGAAAGATCTGGTGAAGTGCCTGTTTACGGGAGAAGTTTCAATATAATTCACTATATAATCAGGTGAAGCCTTACGTCTTCCTAAGCTATATAATCTCTCTGCAGCGCCATCATCAGCCGCCTTCCAACATCTCAATATATCCCACATCCAGCTTATAAAAGCCAGAGACCCCAGGTCTCACTACTTTCATCAACTTGATACCCACTCATACTCTCAAGTAGTATGAGGGATCGGATAAATATGCCATTATCTTGAATGAGCACTTGTTAGAGAGACATCGTAGTACTTCCTCCAACCTATCACAAGGCTCGACCGTATAAATCGGTGAGATGCTCGTAAACATCTTGGAGGTCGCTAGGTCTTCAGACAAGCTATCGATAAGCAACTACATAACACTGATGGAAATTGATGACAAGGACGAATACCAGCCATCTCCCCTTTCACAAATAGGGTGATATTAACCATCAATGTATGGGCAAAATACTATAAAAGACATGGTACAACAACACGAAACGCACCTGCACCTGCCGCACAGCAGTAGCACATAACAACTATGGAACGATCCTCAGTACTCACGTCAACAAAGAGCATCTGCAATCAAATACTACTCCTCGGCGACACCCATGATCAACCAAGTCATCGACCTTGCCGGCTGCCTATCGATCATGCATTGCGGCCAGAGTGTAACGAGATTGATGGGGAGGATGATGATCCTGATTACACCCCTCTGGCTGATGTCGCCGAAATGCATGAGAGCCCTGTGCGAGAGAGGCCATCGGACACGCTCGATCTCACCATCAATTCTTTCTTTTTTCCAGTTCTCGTCGTGGTCGCGAACGTTAGTATTCATGTCATCCCTGGATTGTGGTTGGTTTGAACGGAAATTTGTGCTGTAATAATACTTTAGATGTTACATGTGGGCAGGCTTTCAACAATACCCTGCTGATATTATGTCTGTAGCACTATATACTGGAGGAGGTATACTGTATGCAAGAGCACACATTATCATCGAATAATCTGCTTTAATGACTATATATCTTCATATATCTATAATTGGCTAGCACCTGTGTCATCTTCAACAAGATAAACTTAACTACGTAACCATCTTCATCAAACGCTTAGTAAGTCTTATTTGAAGGAATCATGCAAAGGTCAGACGAAAGGCTTATCCATAAGGGGCCGAAGAACAGGGGAATACATACTCTATCACGCTAATCACTCTATATATATCCAAATGATAGTTATCTCGCATAAGAGACTGCCATATTTTAATACTCAGTAGTAGGATGTTTTTACATAGCCTAAATATACTGGTGGCTTCCGAGCCTACATATAATTACATATAATACTCTCCTGATGTATCTCAGCAACGATCTTTTCACAGAGGTTGAGTCCGATGATGGAACATACAGCTCCTGTCTTAGTAAAGCTTCTGGTACATCTACTAGTAAATACCGAAATAGTATAGATTGACATCCAGGGGAAGATGACGCTTTCGTCAATCCCAGGGCCAAATCATGCCATCTGACCAGTCAGAGGCACGGAATTTGCATTCAGGGGATGATGGCCCCAAAGATGACCGTGGCCCCCCCTTGAACCAGCCCACAACCGGGGTATGTGAGTAAGAATGTAAATAATGTGCAAAAATCAATTTATTCTTCATATTTGATAGTCCAGTCAATGTCTGGTGGAGGCTATCAAATGGTTGACTGTTGGACGATGGCAAGCTAAGCACATGCCAAGAGAAAAGGGAGAGGGAGAGAGGATATGACACTATTGAAATGTCATTTCTGTCAAATCAATAATATGCATATGGTTTGACAGCCTATGGAGAAAGCACAGATCTATTGAAGACTCGGCATGAGTATTGATTAATTCCATATCCACTAGATAATATGGAACTGGGGGCCATCGGGACCCAACTCCGGATTATACCAGTGTGGCAGCAAGGTGCAGAATGAGTACAGTATTGCTGTGTATACAAGATATGGTTGACCCTAAGGCTGGAATTAACGAGAGACCCTTCATGTTATTTCATGTTACTGTCATTAAGCTTCTTGCCCACTCATGTAAATCTCTGCCAAAAGTTGAAGAGAATAACGGTCAGTGGTGGCATGGACTGGTCTGTCGGGATCGAGACCGGATGACGCGTGGCTTGAGCCATTCGAACCCGCTCATTAGCGTTCTGGCCGTTCTCATTACAGTAGGCCTGTCGAACATGTGTTCCTTCAGTTTTAGTGATTAGTCGACTCCCTACGTACTCCTGTATGGATAAGAATCACCCCCAACTGTAACACTACTATTGTCGACTATTGGGGCTGGCTGACAAGTCTCACCATGGAACCTGACATCTGGTGCTATGGTAAAGGCCAAGTCCTTCAACGGTCGGCTGTTTGCGGGAATGACAGACTAGCCCAAGTGCCGGTGACAGGAATAGGCGAGTCCAATGGTGGAAAGAGGAAGAAGAAGCAGAATGGGCATCTAATCTCGATTAATGAGTTAATCAAATGGATCATCTCGTCTGCCGTGCCTGAGGCTGCGGGTGGGTGTGTAGCGGCCTCATGATTCGACCAGACATCCCGTGTTAATTTCCGGGCGAAGGAATCCAACGTGGGCTGGAGGTTCGAGACCATCCAGTCCAGGCACGGCCGGCCGTGCCTGGCACACATCCAGAGAATGGTTGGTTGCACTTGAGACACCCAATGTAAGGAATCATGGGGCATGATGGGAACCCTCCTCCACCGTTCCGTATATGCCAGGGGAGGATGGTTTATGTGGTAGAACTAGGCATCTTTGTTGCAGCAGCGCACAGAGGCATGTACATCCGTTCATGGGATTTCTGCGACCTTCCCCCCTCCCTCTGCACGGTCGGCTGGATAGGATTTTCCATTTTCCCCTCTTCAAGAATAATTCTCCAATAGTTTGATCAATTTTCCTTTCGGAGAGGGGGATGCTAGTAGGACAAGTTTCTCGCAGAATTCGCTATAGTCGGTCAATATTCCGGCACTATTCCGGACGACTAAGTCTGCTATTGACAATGGCTGGTGTGCCGCTTGCTGGTCGGGTTAATTGCGTTCGTTCCACGCCATGGAGGAGTGATCCGGCCTGTGCGATGGGCTGGAAGAAGACGGGAAGACAAACATGTAGATAGATGGGCTAGACTTTTGATGTGGTTCTTCGTTGATCCTGAGTGGTGAGGGAGATGAAGATGAGGGTCAACCCATCTTTTGGGAGGAACCAACATTGGACAGTCCATAGATTGACTGAAGGAGGATAAATGAATGGGGGATTGACTTGGTTCCCCTCCCCTGCGTGAACTGTGGCAGTAAGTGGCAGGAGTGAGTGGACATAAACATCACAGCCCAGCACTAAACCCAACCGAGTCAGGCCTTCGCCCTCTCCGCGTCTCCCGCCCACCACCCCCTTCCACTTCCACACACCCACACCCACCACCACCACCACTTTCAGTCGTTTGTCTGCTTACTTCCTCGTTCCCTTTCGGTTTGTTCGAATTCCTATTATTATCGGTCATTTCTTTCTTTCGACTTTCACTCATTTACTTCTGCTTCTGCTTCTTCTTCCTCCCTCCTCTCTCTCTTCCTTTTTGATCCTTTTGCTCCTTTCTCTTCCTTTTCGGCCATCAACTCGTTCTCCCCCTCGTCCTCCTCTCCCCAACCCCCGGACATACCGCCTTCATTCTCCTCCTGTCATCTCGATCTCCCCTGAATCCATTGTCCCTGCGGTGGTTCTGTACCTGGCAGCCACCAACGCGTGTTTCTCCGACGTCAACCCCAGCGACCTATCAAATATCAACTGCCACTGGGGTTGAAATTGTCCATCGCACTGACTGTCCAAACGCCCGACTGGGAGAATCATCTACCGCCTCACCTCAACGGAGATCCACCTTAGATCGCATACTATGACCGTTGTTGCCTACCGTCCGCCGACCGTCTTCCCTACCACCGACATCCGTTCGCTTGTCTAAAATCACCCATCCTCCTTTTGATGACCTCGTAACCACCCTCACGACTTGACGTCCGTTGAGCACCCACACTCTTTTACCACATTTACTACATTCTGCACGTTCGCTTTGCCGTTGATCGGCCTGCCACTCTTTTCTCGCCCATTTGAAGCAGCAGCGTTTTATCACGACCCAACCTTATACCTCCTTGTTTTTTTATCCCTTCGCCGCGACCCATCTTCGAACTCACATCTTACCTTTCATCATGTCTTTCCATATTCCCGATACATCCTCCCCCAATGGTATGTCTTCTACCTGGTCTGATTCACACTCCGAATACTGACATGATGTGTTGAAGTCTTGTACGCCCGCTCTCTTCTGTCCTTCAGAAGTTGTGTGTCATGTCCCTCTACATCGCCGTCTTGCCCGACCTGCGACGATGGCTATACATGTACGATGACTAGTCAGTCATGTTCTGCGTGTGCCAGCACCCAATGTGTCAAGTCCCCAACGTCTAGCGACAGCTCTAGTTCAAACAACTCGGGTGGAGGAGGCAGCGACGCCGGAGCGATTGCGGGAGGAGTCATTGGTGGTATTGCATTTATTGCGATTGTGACGTTCCTCGTGTGGTGGTTCTTCATCCGGAAGAAGCGCCAGGAACAGGCGGCCAGTGTGGCAGAAAAGGCCAGCACATTCAACGACGCCCGACAGTCGAGAAAATCGACCCATTCGATCGCATCTACCGTCCTTACTCGCGCCTCCAATGTCATTCAGATCGCATATATTCCCGGTGTCACCAACCGCTCGCCCCCAGAAACTCCAGGCCACCTCGTCCCGCCTGTTCCTCCGTTGCCCGGTGCCCACCCGGATCAGCACTTCTTCATGCCCGGCGATCTCCGCGACTCCACATGGTCGGAAATGTCGAACGAACGCCGCAGCATCGCTCCCAGTTTGCGCAGCAGTGTGGCCACCACTATCTACCGGAACAATGCCATCGTCAGCCCGATGCCTGCACAACAGGTCATGCGCACACGGGCGGCGGTGGTCAACATCAACGGAGCTGCCGATGCGCCCGCTGTTCCAGCCATCACCCAGGCACAACTCGCCAAGGCAGGTGTCACCACGACTACCAGCAACAGTTCGATTGTCGCACGCACTGTTACCGCCAAGCCGGTTATGGTGAGAGGTGCCTCGAAGAAGAAGAACAACAACGCCTCTGCGTCTCCCGCTGTCCAGACCATCGAGGAGCAACCGGAGACAAATAGTGCGGCTGCTTCTAAGTCGCCTAGTACCCAAGAAAAGGAAGAGACGCCTACCTCGGGCTTCGACGAAAACTCCTCGGATGAAGAAGACTCGACGCCGAAGACCACACCGGCACAGAACACCAACAAGACAGAGACAGCTAAGGAGGAGACACAATCACGACCCGCTACCGTGATTGAAGACTCGCCAGCCGTCAGCCAGAGCCCTTTCAAGGATCAACCCGCAGAGACCGATCGCCGAGCGTCTGCCCGAGCGTCATCTTTGCTCGAGAGACCCGAAGGTACCCAGTCTAACCGAAGCAGTCGACACCTCCCCCCGCGCGTCGAGAGCCCATTCTCTGACGCCAACGAGGTGAAATGATTTGCACGTTCTTTCCTATATGTCTGATTTATCTGCGTTTGAGAACCCTTTCATTTGGATGGCGACAAATGGCGCAAAGTGATTAGCAGTTGGCCCTATGGGGAGCCCCTACTTTCTTGTATCTATGATTTATGCTTCTTGACTCTTGGATCTCTATTGGTCTACTAGAATTGCCACGCAGTGGCTTTGAAATGGAACATCTATATATGAAGACTACACAATTTCACCAGAAGATAAATAAGCCGAAGACAATGGACGCACGTGGACTGCTGCCCAGCTCTAGCTCCCCACCAAACAACATCATACTCCCTCCTGAACATGATATTCTATATCTAGTCTTCCACTTCCCCAAGTAACGGTTATACTCATCTTACCAACCGCAGGACTAACCCCCACCCTATCCCACATCAACATGTCACCCCTCCTCCGCCCCAAAAACCACCATGCCCCCGGGCCACCACGGAATATTCACATGCACCTTATCATCCTGCCCAATAGTCAAACAAACCCTCTTGCCCACCAGATCAAACTCCGGATACGCATACGTGAGCCTCGCCTTCTCCGGCACCTCCCAACACCTCGTAATGACCGCGGACTGATACTGCAATTCATTCCCATCCCTCAACACCATCCCCGTAATAGCCGCGGAATCCCTCGCATAGTCCACACCCCCGGCTGCAAGCGCCACATGCTCTTCCAGCGCGATGACCTTCTCCGCCATGATGGCACATAATTGGCTACTGAAGACGCCTTCCTGCCGGGAACAGGAGCGGAGAAGCTCGACGGCTTCGCGCCGGGTGAGGGGGTCACGACATAACGTGGCGGTTGTGTAGAGGGGGGCGATGATGCCGAGGTCGAGGGAGAATGTGGGATTTAATGTGGTATTGGTGGGTGATGATGATGAGGGGCCTGACATCTGCACGACGGATTTCGATAATGAGATGATTTGTTTGAAGATAGGGTTGAATCGGTCCCAGATCGTGGAGTCGGAGGAGCCCGAGTTGTATTGTTCGAGCATCATGGTGTATTCCAGACGGTGGATTTGGAGGATTTTGAGCCCGATTTGTTCCTTGGTTGTGAGGGTGGAGCCGCGGGTTTGTTCGAAGTGGTCGAGTGCGGTGGACCATTTGGTTAGGATGGTGGCGTAGTGGTGGATTAGGGGGGCGAGGGATGGGTTTGTTATTGGTGATGGTGATGGCGATGATGATGGTGTTGAGGGTTGGGTGTCGATGAGGGTGTGGTAGTCGTGTCGGTATGTGCTGCTGTAGTGTTCGTAGATGTTGCGGGCTTGGGAGAGGGAGGTGAAGGTTGAGGGGATTTCGATGATGTCGTTGGATGTGCATTTTAGTTGGGCGGTGCTGTAGGCTGGGCTGTCTTCGTTGGATCGGGTCTTGTGTGGGATTGTTAGTATGGGGAGGGAGCTTGGGTTGGGTATGGGGATGGGGTAGTACCAGGGCATATACTTGGATCTGTAGGCGGATGAGGAGTTTGCGTATTTCATCGATCTCGAGATTCGGTACCATGGATGGTCTGAGCAGGGGATGGTGGTATGTTCCTGTGCTTGCGTCGTAGGCAACTTCGCCCAGGATCTTCATGCCGCTTCTGATGTGGCTGAGGGCTGCGACGTAGTGGGCTGACATGATCTGAGTGATGGTCAAATAAATGCGTGTCTGCCAAAAGAGTGGTATAATAACATACCTCGTAGCAGACAAACAGCACGCATGATATAAGACACACGTCCACCGAGAGCGTGGCGCCATGACTACTGATCACATATGTGGACGATGGACTACCTGAATCCTCGGACGGATGCAAAAGAGCCCGGATGGCCGCAAGGTATTGTTGCAAAGCAAAGGTGTCATGGCTTTTTCGGCTGAACCAAGGCCCTGGGGTTTGTTGACCATTCTCGAAGTTCTCGTGCAATGCACCCAAGGCGACCAAGGCATGCCATACGGGCTTCTCTTTCTGACTGACTTGCAAGACTGACCGACTCCATAATTCTGAGCCACAGTAGCCGGCTAGAGAGAAGACGGTCTTTTCGTAGAAGAACTGGAATGATCGGATATCACGTTCCCCTGTGGCATAGCGGAAGCCAGTGAGGGTATGGGACGGACGTGGAAGGATGGTGGTTGTAAGAGTAGTAGAGGTGAGGTTGGTCGCATAGCCGTCGCATTTGCGGCCTGTGGAAGTGCATCTCCGGCAGCTTGGTCGGGTTTCATCGCATTTGACGCGCCTTACTGTGGTGATAAAAGAAGATAGTGTGTGGGCGATAACCGTATCTTATTTTCACGGGGTATCAGACATGACTTACTTCTATGGATGTGAATTAGTACTGTATATTTCTTATCGTGAGGGAGACAAGTCACTTACTTGCATGTGGTACACCCTGACTTGGACCGTGTCCGGTAGACTCTCTGTCGGGGTTTGCCATTGTCAGAGCTCATTGGTAGGTTTGATCAGATTAAGAAGTATGTATGTTCCACTATAGATAGGCGTGCCAAAAGCAAGCCTGCAGAGGGTCAGATGGGAATTACAAGTCGGAACTCAAGATGGCGTTATTGCGGAGAAAGGAGGAGCTGAAAAGTAATTCGGTCAGCCTCGGAGTGAACAAGGCAGCCTTGTTCGTGTCTGTCTACTACTTCCACCCAAGCCGGACGGGGCTAAGCAGGAATGGACTAATGAACTAATGTACAGTATACAGCTGACAGAATAGAAAGAATAATATGCAGATTCCAGAATGCTGCAATGGTTGCCAAGATTGCAGATACAAATCTAACAAAGTATAATCTATCAATTTGTTATTATTAAGGGCTTTCACTGTTAAGGCCAGACTCCAAACCCCACCGCGATGATCTCATCACTCGTCTTCTCTAGTTAATTAAACTAAGTAGCCATCCACTCTTCCATCTTCAACCTATCTTCTTCGCACTTCCTTCATATCTTCGATGATAGTGAACTCACCATGTCTACTCTACAGAGTCTCCGTTCGACTTATCGTCTAAACTCTGGCCATGAGATCCCCATCCTTGGATACGGGGTGAGCTTATCCTGAACTTTCCTCATCCGACCAGGCAAACTAACTAGTGAACCAGGTCTATCTAATGTACGTGCACTGAGCCAGGCTTCAACTTACATCCCAACTAACTTTTCCAGCCCGGCATCCCAAACAGAGAAAGCTGTTCTCGAAGCACTCAAAATCGGTTACCGCCATGTAGGTTCTACACTCATCTCTCCCATCATTCGTCACACTCATCAGATGCCAGGTCGACTCTGCTATCATGTATCGCAACGAGAAGGCCTGTGGGCGCGCCATCGCAAATTCCTGTCTTCCCCGGTCGGAGATCTTCTTCACGACCAAGATTCCCCCAGGATCGATGGGATACGATCGTACTAAGCGAGCTATCGACTCAAGTCTGCGTGAAGCACAGCAGGAATATTTCGATCTGTCAGGTTACCCTACGTGCTTACATCCATTAGAAGATGATGCTGACAAAAGTAGAATCCTGCTACATGCTCCCTACGGCGGAAAAGAAGCCCGTCTCGGCTCGTGGAAGGCCCTTGTGGAAGCACAGAAAGCCGGCAAGACTCGATCCATTGGAGTGTCCAACTATGGAATCCACCACCTCGATGAGCTGGAAGAGTACATCAAGTCCGGCGGAGGGGGACAGATCGACGTCGGCCAGTATGAGCTGCACCCGTGGCTGGACCGATCGGAGATTGCAGAGTGGTTGCAGAAACGCAATATCGTGGTGCAGGCCTATTCCCCCTTGGCGCATGGGACGCGCATGGGCGAACGTGTGTTGAAGGAGCTGGGAAAGAAGTATGGCAAGTCGCCGGCACAGATCATGATCCGCTGGGGACTACAGAAGGTAAGTTCTCTAGGAGCATTTGGAATGACTCCATGCTGACGATGTAGGGATTTGTGCCTCTGCCCAAATCGGTGACGCCCAGTCGGATCCAGGAAAATGCGGAGGTGTTTGATTTCGCATTGACAGAGGAGGAGATGAAGTTATTGCACACAGGCGAATATTCGCCCACGGATTGGGACCCCACAGTGGACTACGACTAGATGTAGACCAGTTAGCATGTAATGAAACCGGAGTGCACAGAGTAAACTCAGGGTTATGAATGAATGAAGTCTGTGTGGTTGGATAAGCACAAGACAGGCGGGCCGGTCCCCGCGGGGCTGCTTAGCAATAACTGAACCAATCCGTCCATCTTTATCTTTCTCCCCGCCAACTTCAGCGCATTCCATCTCCGAATCCCCCTCTTTCCCTCGTCTACATCGCTTCTCTCCTCGGCATATCCTCTCTAAACCCCGTCATCATGAAGCTAATCCTCTCCTCCTCGTACGTATACCCTTGTACGCTCCCAATCCCCCGCTAACAACCGCAGAAATATCATGATAAGCGGCGAGACCATCATCCGCCATCCCACCGAAAAGTCCAACGTCGAACTGATCAACTCCCTGCGCACAAACTTCCAAGCCGCCCAACACGCTGCAGACCCCTCCAGCGACCGCCCCCCTTACATCACCTGGACCAAGCAAGGCGACAACGCCCTCTACATCCCCGCGACCGATTTCGCGCACGGTCTCTCCGAAGAGCGCTCCCAATACGACATCACCGTCAAACTGTTCTACCTCCCGGGCATCCCGGCCTCCCGGCGCTGCGCACACACCCGCGAAGCCATCGATCTCGTTCTGAAAGAGCTGCACGTCGACTCCATCGACCTGCTGATCGTCTCTTTCCCGGGCATCCTCTTCGACGCCGACGACGACAGCGACGAAGAAGTTTCCTCCGACAATGGCAGTGAAGAACCCGATGACTTTGACAGCATGATCCAGACATGGCGCACCCTGGAGGGTCTGCAGGAACAGGGAATGATCTCACAGTTGGGCGTCGCGGAATTCGGAAGCGAACGGCTCGCCCGGTTTCTTCCCCACACGAAGGTCAAGCCGTCTGTCGATCAGATCAATCTGAAGGATTGTTGTGTCGTGCCTAAATCGCTGATTCTCTACGCTAAGCAAGAGCACATTCAATTGCTGACGCATAACGACTGCATGGATATCCTGCCTGTCGGCACGACTCGGGACCTACTTGGGCCTGGGGAAAAGGGCGCGGGGATTCTGGCCTCGTCGCCGGATGCGCCGGACGGTATCCAGGGCGATATCGAGCCGCAGTGGGTGGTTAAGTATACGGCTGTGGTCAAGGATCGGGGGGTGGTGGAGAATAAGGGATATTTTGCGCTGGCGGATGTAGGCAGCTGCGTGAAGAGATCATAACCATCCTCCTCCTCCATCTTCTTCATCTGCTCACTACCTGATTACACCCTCGCATGGATAAGCACGGCTGGCGTTATTCGTTCTGTTCATTTCATTCCAGTTCTACTTCTAAAACTTCTCTTCATATACATAACGACTCAATGACAAGCACATTCACCATCACCATCCCTCTACCCCCGCAAGAAAAGAACAAGAATGATAAACCTAACCAATCATACTCCTCTTCCTCCCCCTCATCCTCACATCCTCCAACCTCTTCAACACCGACCCCGACCCGCGATAACTCGCACGATACCCCTCAAGCACCTCCCCAAACAACGGCTCCGTACGGGGATGCGTACTCCCAAACGCGCGCTCCAGGACATACAAATCGACCGCGCGATCCTCATCCTGAATACTCTGACTCGCCAGACCAAAATCAATCAACACCACCTCACCCTGCATATCAGGACTCACTCCTTCCCCTTCCCCATCACCCTCAGCCGCGGGCTCATCAACACCCCTCAAGATCAAATTACTCGTGGTCAAATCCCCATGCACCACACCCGCCTTATGCAACGCACCCACAGCAGCCCCAACACGTCTCAACAACCCCTTGACTTTCCTCTCCTCTTCCTCAATCTCATTATCCTGTAGCTTGACTTCCCCATCAACCTGCCTTTTCGCCCCAACACCTACACCAGAACCAGATGCAGAGCGAGACTTGATATACCTCTCCCACCTCTGAATCACAACCCGAACCACACATCCCTCGATCCACTCCATGAGGATCCATGCCCCATTTCCCCTAACACCCTCACCCACATCCCCCCCAGCACCACTATGGTTATTGTTGGTATTGTTAATATCCCAATCCACCGCCAACACAGCCGGAACATTCACGCCCTCGCGCACCAGACGCACAAGACACCGCGCTTCCTGGAGAACGCGGGCACGCGTCAATCGCCGGTCGAGGATCGGGTGGCGGTAGGGCTTTGTTGGGCGGATCTTGAGGGCCGCGGGGGTGGAGGGACTCAGGTAGGTCGTTTTGTATAGGTGGGCTTCGGCGCCTTGGGTTATTAGGTGCATTTGGTGAGAGGGGGTGTGGTGGAAGGGTGGGGGGAGGGGTGGGGGTGTGTAGGTTTCTGTTGTCATTGTGGTGGTTATTGTCGTTGGTGGTGTTGGTGTTGTATTGGAGGTCGGGTTGGGAGGTGAGGTTGGTGAGGTTGTGTATATGTTGGTCGTATGGAGAATGTAGGAGGTGGTGAGAGAAGAGAGGGTGTGGATGATATATGGAGGGGTGAGGGGAGAAATCGATGTTATCGAAAAGTTCGGGTGGGGCGGTGATTAATGGATGGATAGGTGGATGGCTTTATCGGACTTATTAAGCAGATAGATTTAGAGCTGCTGCAACCACCAGATTTAACCGTTTATGATCTCAATGCTACTTTTAAAAGGCATGGTGTGAAATTGCAGTTTTCTGCTATCGCTAAAAGTACACAAGTACACAACATACAACGCCTGGTATGCTTTTAACCCGTCCCTTTTACAAGTCCTCGTTATCGAGTGATTTTTTATGTATATATCATGATCGCTTGCGACGAGCTGCCTTGGCTCTCTCCAATGGCGCCTCGTACACCTCGCTCCATGTATCTTCGAACGTCGTCTTGCGTGCCCCGATCTGTCCCTCGAAGAAGTTCATCTTGCGTACCACCTCCATGGCTCCCGTTCCCAGCGACACCGTCTTGCCCATAATGATACACTCGGACACACCTTCGATGAGATCGCTGCGACCCGCGCCACCAGCGTCGAACAGATGGTCTGCCGTCTTTTCGAACGACGCCAGCTGCAGCACGGAGTCACGCATCTTCGCGAGACCGAATCGCGTGATACCCAGCACTTCACCCTTGTAGGTCATGACATCGGCCAGCAGCTGCATGTGTCGCGGATCAATGTCCATGTCCTTCATGACCTCGCTGATTTCCTGCACGATGGTCGTCCGCGCTGCCTCGATACCGAGAACGTCCCGCATCTCCATCACGTTATTGGTTGACGTGCGCAGTCCGTCCACACCCATCGTCGTCATACACTCCCGAAGACCGTAGCCTTCTACCAGAAGCGTGTTGGTGGTAGACGTCTCGTCGGTTCGGATGATGGCACGGAAGGCCTGGGGGTGACCCAGGACTTGGATGTCGGGAAGCATGCGCTTCAGGTGCTTCAGACGGAGGAAAGGATCGGAACTGGTGTGGGCGATCTCCGTCTTAGACAGGTTGGCCTTGGTGGACGGGTCCACGTCCATGTAGACGTGAATGTGGGACCGTGAGCAGCGGAACTTCAGATCGTCCGCCTTGAACCGCTTGTGGTTCTTGATCGCCGACAAGATGTTCTCGATCTTCAGCTCCAGCGCCAAGTCTTGAATTGTCTTCCAGTTGATCTTCACCGTGATGTAGGCTTCCTTGCCCGTCCATGTCTCACGGACATAGTGGATAATGTCTCGCAAGTAGGTCTTCTCGATACGTCCCTTGACGATCCGCGCCGCGATGATGTTGTCCTTCGTGACGAGCTCGCAAGCAACGACAGGCGTACTGATCTCCTTCGACGCGTTGATAATTTCCTTAATACGGGGTACACCCTGCGTGATACTCATACCAGCGACACCAGCAAAGTGGAAAGTCTTCAGCGTCATCTGCGTACCAGGCTCGCCAATGGACTGTGCACCAACTGCACCGACGGCGTGGCCGGCCTCGACCTGGGCCTTCTTGTACTTCATCAAACATGAGGAGATGAAAGTGCGGAGTGTCCGCTCGGTCAGCTTGCCGGTGTGGTTGAGACCCTTCTGACTTCTCTCGTCGTTGGGGTCGATGTCACCACCGCGGGAAATTAGCTTGTCAGCCTTCGTAGCGACGTATTGCTGGATAGACTCGAGGAAGTCACGAGCACTCTCGAACTGATCAATACCATGGTCAGACCGATCCATGTAGCCGAGCTCGTTGCCCATCAGATCCTTCCGCACCAGCTTGGAGCGCTCCTTCGAAAGCATCTCCTCGCAGATCTCCATAATCTCAGCCGGAAGCAAACTCCGCTCGTCGTTCTTGTAAGTCGTGGATTCGGCGTGAATGAAAGTCCGGTCGAAGTGGACAGGCTTGGCCTTACCCTCCATATCCAAGGGATCAAGCTTATCATCACCATACTGGAACTGGACAATGGCCGCCGACGAGTTACGCACGGTATCATCATATCTGGTCGAGAGATCTTCGAGCGACTTCATCAACCGACGAGACATGTAACCCGTCTCGGCAGTCTTGACAGCCGTATCGACCAGACCTTCACGACCGGACATGGCGTGGAAGATGAACTCCGTGGGCTCGAGTCCGGAGAAGAAACTGTTCCGGACGAAACCCTTGGACGGGGGCTGGCGAGCGTTCTTGGGGAAGTGCGGCAGGGTACGGTCCTGGAAGCCGTCCTGCACACGCTGACCACCGATAATCTGCTGTCCGACCAGGGCAACCATCTGGGACACGTTGATACTGGAACCCTTGGATCCAGACGTGGCCATGATTAGGGGCGAGTTGTACTTGCTCAGTTGAGCAATACACTCGTCACCTGCCTGCTGACGGACCTTACTGAGAATACCGGACAATTGGTTCTCCATGGTTTGCAATTCGTCACAACCAGGATATTTCTCCAGCGTGCCTGCCTTGTACTTGGCAATGACTTCGTCACACTGTGCGTAGGCCGTTTCGACGAGGTTATGCTTCGAACGTAAGAGCTTTTCGCTGGGATATACGTCGGTAATACCGATCGAGAATCCCATGTTCGTAAACCAGCGGGCTGAGAGCCTGGACAAGCGGTTCATACCCTCAGCAGCCGCCACCGGCCCGTAATCTCTCAGCATAATATAGAAGACGTTGTCTTTCTTTCCGGAACCAATGGTGGACTTATCCATCACACCACACATCACCTCAGAGTTTCGGATGACGAGCCAGGCATCCTTCGGGTCTAGATCGCGTGGTCTACCATCCTTGGGTGCCTTGAACTCTCTGCATGCAGCATCCAGGTTGACCAAAACAGGGTCGTCCTTGTTCGGCCGCATGAGAATGTTGAAAACCTGCTTTCCGGTCCACAACATCTGAGGCTTAAGCACGGCAGGAGGGGGGAGGTCGAAGCGTGTCTGCGGACCCAGCATGTACAGGCAAATCTGGGTGAACGAGCGGCGGTCGAAGAAGTTGTCCTTGCTACTGAGAATGTAGGCAGCACTAATGAAATCTTGAATGGCAGAAATAATCGGCTCTCCGTTCTTGGGCGTAGCCAAGTTATTCTTAACTCCCATCAGTTCCATCGCTTCAGCTCTCGCCTCCTCCGTCTGAGGCACGTGCAGGTTCATCTCGTCTCCGTCGAAATCCGCGTTGTAAGGGTTACAGACACACTCGTTCAATCGGAACGTCCGGTGAGGACGGACTTTGGCAAAGTGAGACAGAATACTGAGCTTGTGCAGAGAGGGCTGTCGGTTGAAAAGAACAATATCACCGTCCTCGATGTGACGTTCAATAACATCGCCCTCCTGCAGTTGGTCGGCAATCATGTTCAGGTTACCATACTTAAGGAAGAGCTTGAATGTCTGGCCCTTCTTCATGATGTAGTTTGCACCCGGCCACTTCTTCGTGCCGTTTCGGACTCTCTGCTGTAGCTTCTCTTTATTGTACCGAGTAACAACTTCGGGATAGGTCATGTTCTTGGCCACCAACTCAGGGACCGCAACCTCGTCGACCCGCAGGTTAGGATCGGGGGAAATGACAGTACGGCCTGAGAAATCCACACGCTTTCCGGACAAGTTACCACGGAATCGACCCTGCTTACCCTTCAAACGCTGCACAAAACCACGAATGGGCTTTCCAAGGTCTGCCTTGTTCAGACCTGGCACATCGCTGTTGATATACACAGCGATCTGTAGCTGCATGTAGTCCCAGCACTCCATGATTGTCTGTACCGGCGCACCCTTCAACAATGCGTTCTTCAGGTTGATATTGCTCTGGACGATGTCGCCCAGCTTGGCTGTCAAATCATCCTCGGTGGACGCCGCATCCTGACCGACGGAAGGACGAATACACACCGGAGGAGCGGGGATGAACTGCCAGAGGAACATTTCCGGCCTTGCTTCTTTCGGGTTTAGACCCAAGAGCTCACAATCGGTATCGGAAATCTTCTTGAACAGGTTCAGCACGCGGAGAGCGTTCATATCATCCTGGGCCTTCTTGTAATGTTTCTCAACCTCCGCGTTGGACGTTCTGGCTTCGTCGAATGACCTATCGAAAACAATCTTGCTAGGCGGCGGAACTTTCTTGACGGACGTCGAGGCGTTGAATGCACGGAATTTGTCGTGAGTGATTTTGAGGGCGCTCGTTCCAGCTTTCTTCACCACACCGTTAACCGCACCACAGGCCTCGCAGTTGCGTGTCTTGCGACACCGCTCGTTAATCCGCTTCGCAATCTGGCCGCGCCGCAAATTATCCAACCCAGGACGACGCATTTCACGAAGGTAGGCACGGCGATCGGCTTCGGGGAGCAGAATGCGCGAACATTCCTTGCAAACTTCCTGCAGTATAGTGATGACTCGCTTGAAATAACCGACGTGGAAAGCAGGCAACACGAGCCTGACGTGACCGAAGTGTCCATTGCAAACTTGGAGGGCGCCACCACAAGTCTGACATGATGAGGTCTTGTTGGAAATACCCATGCGCGCATCGAGAGGACCATTGGCTACCACCGCTCGATCGTGGTCGAGATCGAAGAACTTGCGATCCGAAACTTCCACCACACCTTGGCTGACAATGTCATCGTTGGACCTGGACGATTGGCGCACGGTATTAGTCTTGACTGCTCCGCAGCGGAGATCCAAGAGGGGTAGAACTGGGAAAAGCAGAGGCATGCTTACAGAACACCAAACTTCAACTCCTTGATAACCTTGGGAACGCGGTCAATGACCTGGGCCTTGCCCAGGTCGACCTGCACACCTTCTGGAGGCTGCATCGCCGTTGTCAGATGATGATCATGGCAAGGCGACACTGACTCAACGGGTGGAATGCGACGGCGCTGAAATCACCGTACGACGAGCAAGAAGGTCGCCCAGACAAATGATGATCAGTATTGCACCCTGCAGCACTGCAGCTTGTGGATCTGGAGGAAGGAAAGCCAGCAGGAGAAAGCGACCGCGGGAGGGGGAGAAATTGCAGACGACCGCGGCGGCGGGGTCGGCGACGAACTTTTCTGCGGTTAAATTGTAAGCTCCAGCTTCCGCCGCTCCGCCAATCAGAGTCCCCGGGATGCCCGGTATTCACACTGCATACTACAATTCTATACAGACATTATTGTCAATGGAAAGAGGCATTCAGATGCAAGTTCTATTTATCAATATAATAATACAGCAGAAGTACATATGATATAGTATACTGTACAGTGGCAGGCATGAAGGTGCCCATTATTTAGCCAAGAAAGCCTGGAATGCCTTCTGTTCAATCACCACATTTCCAACCGCCCGCAGCTTCTTACGTCCCTCCTTCTGCTTCTCCAAGAGCTTCCTGCGCCGACTGACATCACTGGCATGCAGCTTCGCGAGGACATCCTTCCGATACGGCTTGACGGTCTCACGCGCCACAACCTTGCGGCCAACAGCTGCTTGGATAACGATCTCGAAGAGCTGTCGGTCAACGTGCTGCTTGAACTTGGTCACCCATTGTCTGCCCAATCGCTCTACTTGGCTGTAATGCACGAGCCTTGCGACCGCATCTACTGGCGCCTTGTTCACCAGAAGTTGTAACTTGACGATGTTGCTTGTTTGCCACGCCGATTCCTCGTAATCAAGGGTGGCGTAGCCCTTAGTAGAGCCCTTGAGCTTTCCGAAGAAGTCGTCGACCAGCTGCGCAAGGGGCAGATCATACTTGAGAATGACCTGAGTCGATGTGAAGTACTCAAGGCTCTTCTGCACGCCTCGGTTGGATTCGCAGAGCTCGATGACCTTTCCGAGATACTCATCGGGGAGGGTCAAAGTAGCGACGACATAAGGCTCCTGAATTTCGGATATCTTACCGCGCAACTCTTCATCCTCCGGGAACTTGGCGGGGTTGGAGATAATCTCTTCCCTGCCGTCTTTCCAGATAAGTTTCACGGGAACGGAAGGAGGAGTAATGATGATACTGGCACCGTGCTCCTGGCGCAGACGGTCCTCAAAGACAGAGCAATGCAGTGTTCCCAAGAAGCCTAACCGGAAACCTGCTCCAAGAGCATGAGACGATTCCTTTTGCACAGTAATACTCCGGTCGTTCAGGCAAAGTTGGTTAATACTATCTTCCAAGTGCTCAAAGTGATCCGCGTCCACGGGATAGGCGGCCACGAAAACCATTGCCTTGGGCTCTTCGAAGCCCGGAAGCGGCTCGACAACCTTTTCAAACCCAACCTTCGTGTAGGTGTCACCGATCTTGGCTTCCTTGCTTCGCTTCATACCGGGGTTGAAGAAGATGTAGCCGACCTGGCCAGCGCGAAGGACCGACTGGGCAGTCTCATTGGGATACATAATGCCGACCTCACCCACGAAGTATTTGATTCCAGTCGCGAACGACACAAGCTGGTCTCCTGCCCGGATTTCACCGTCGAAAACGCGGACCAAGCAGATGACACCTCGGTACGAATCATACCAGGAATCAACGAGGAGCATCCGTAGGGGGTTGTTAACATCTCCCACCGGTCTTTTTGAGTCAGTTTCAATGCTTGGCTAAAAGGGTTTGTATAGACCAAACTTACGCCGGAATCTTCTCAACCACAGTAGGAAGTAATTGATGTACATTTAGACCGGTCTTGGCTGATACCAATACTGCACTTTCCGTGTCAAGCTCAAAGGACTGTTCCATTTGGTCAAGAGCACGGTCCGGGTCAGCGGACGGCAGGTCCACCTTGTTGATGACGGGAATCAGCTCCAGGCCCTGAGAGAACGCGAGGTAGAAGTTGGCGACTGTCTGAGCCTGGATACCTTGACTGGCATCGACTAGCAGCAACGCTCCTCCGCAACTGGCATAACTGCGCGAAACCTCCGCACGGAAGTCCACATGCCCCGGGGTATCCACCAGATGCAACAGATAGTCCTCGCCATTATGGTTGTAAATCATTGTACATGTCTGTGCCTTCACCGTGATACCCCGTTCACGCTCGACGTCAAGCTTGTCCAGGACCTGCTTGTTCATACCAGGCTGGATGGTTCCGGTAAGTTCCAACAGCCGATCGGAGAGGGTACTTTTGCCATGGTCGACGTGGGCGACAATGCAAAAGTTACGGTATCGGTCGATCGGGATAGCTGCGATTCTTGATTCAAGGTCGGAGGCTGGCTGGCTGGCCGGTGCCCTGCCGCGCGATGCCCAGCATGCGGCGGAAGTCGTGAAAAACCGGGCTGGATTAGCAAGGCCGGACGGCGGCTTGAGAAGGCTTGCAGCAGGACATTTCGGTGCTGCGCGCAGCCACCTGGCTAACTGCAGGCATCCTCGCATCTGGAGGTCTGCAATTGCATGGGAATGAATTGCTTGGACGAGATAGTATGCGGACTGCAGACACGGTCAGGCACAGGCAAGTCTCCGTCCAGTTTGCGGGCGGAAAAAGTGCGGCTGCGGAGACCAGGTCGGCGGGCGGTCAGTCAGATTGCCGCGGTGACTGTCTCGATAAACAAAGCTTCCCTCTTTCCCCTCGCATGCAACCCTTCACGCTGAGCAGCTTGTCGTCAACACTTCAATCCCAGGAACTCTCACAGCCATCATGTCCGCTACTAAGGATAAGTCCAAGGTCCACAAGCTGTCCTTGAAAGGTACGGATTCATAGTCTGTGAGATATGAGCAGAAGCTTATACACAAGCAGGATCGGCAAAGCTGGTGGCCGAATTCGTGAGTTTTTCTTTTTTGTCTGAGATTCAATCCAAAAAAAAATATACTAATGAGCCTAGTTTGAATACTCCATCAACTCGATTCTGTAGGTTTATTGCCAATCTTCGCACGGAAGTGCCCATCTAATGTCTTCCAGCTTCCAGAGAGGAGTCTACCCTCCAGAGGATTTCACGACGTGAGTGCCTTACGCCCTGCCATTGTGGAAGCAGACTAACCAGTTTTACCAAGTGTCAAGAAATATGGTCTCAACATGCTGGGTTTGTTACTACGAACCGGCTACTGGAGTTGCCTTGTTGACCAATAGTAGTTACCGCCGACGACCAGGTCAAAGCCTACATCAAGAAGATAATGTCGCAATTGAACAAATGGATGACGGGTGGCAAGATCTCTAAGCTTGTTATTGTCATCACGGACAAGGAAACTGGTGAACACGTGGAAAGATGGCAGTTTGATGTACGCAAGTTGTGTCCCCTCACAGTATACTGGACTAACCAGGTATTAGGTGCAAATCTTCGGAAAGCATTCCAAGAGCCAATCATCCCGTGCTACTGGTGACAAGGAGAACGCAGCTCCTGGGTAGGTTTCTACCACTATACCCCCTACTCCACCCCGCTAACCAGGCCTCGCCTTCTACAGTGATAAGGATCCCCAAGCCGCTGCCACCGTCGAGAAAACAGAGAAGGAGATCCAAGACGAGATCCAGGCTATCTTCCGCCAGATCACCGCATCAGTCACATTCCTGCCCGTCCTGGATGGCGACTGCACATTCAACGTTCTGGTATACGCCGATGCCGACTCCGAGGTCCCCGTAGAATGGGGCGACAGCGACGCCAAAGAAATCAAGAACGCGGAGAAGGTGCAGCTCCGAAGCTTCAGCACCAACAACCACCGCGTAGAGACACTCGTCAGCTATCGTCTTGCCGACTAGTCACTTCTCCGCATCATCAGGTGTTTAAATGGAGGCGTTACGGAAGAGAGGGCGGGATCTGTATTCGGGAGCATTTCGGGCATCTTTTCATCACTGTGTATTCTACGTCTATTTTCTCACAACCAGCATGATTGCTATCTACCAATGACTAACGAATCCATCTGCATTATTACAATATTACACCTGTCCCCACCAAGGCAACTCCTCCATCTTCGGAAACCATTCATTCCCCGTCTCCCCTCCATCCCACCTCACCAACTCCTCCACAACAGCCTCTAACCCCACATTCACAAACACCCCATCCTCCATCCCGGTCCTCCACCCACGCTTCACCCTCTTTCCCGCTAACTCCCTCTGCACCCCATATCTATCACTCCTCCACAACCCAATCCCACTTTTCTCCTCCCCAGCCACAAGGGAAGCCAACGGCGTCACCTCCTCGGCCGGATTAATCCCAACAACCGTGGATGCAGAGCTGGAGAGTCCCAAGGCCGGAAAATGACACTCTACAAACCGCTTCCGTTTAAACTCATGCGTCACGACAGTCACCCGGCGCGGATAAATACCTGTGCACAGCCTGAACCGGAGCATCGAAAACAAGACATTCTGGTATGAATCTGTAGCGTGGGTCTCAGCGACCACTTGTGCGGGGTTTATCCGCGGAGCAAATTCAAAGTAGTTGTTGTCTTTGGCGAGGTTCTGGCGTTGTGTATTAGTGACAACCAGTCCTTGTCATTTCACGGGGGAGAAGAGATAGACATGATAGACATGGATTAAACCATCACAGATTGAAGGGAGTGACTTACAAGATACGACACCCCCTCCGCAAGATCCGTGCGTTCTTTCTTCGTAGGTCCCCTATATTCACCCATCGATCATTAGCCAAACCAGCCAACACAATACTACCCATAACATCTATATATAGAGAACCATACACCCACGCCCTCAACCCAAGTTCAACCAAACATAGCACAAGAAGAACCAGTCAGACGAGCAATAAGCATCATACGTACCCCGAAAACACCAACAAGGCATCCGGATCATCAGCCAAAGTCTGTAATCCTGCTTTGACGTGGTTCGTGAACGTGGGTGTTTCGCCCTTTTGGAAGGGCTCTATGATCCTGTCCCCGTAATTAGCATCAGACAATTTAATTATAAATTAATCATTTGTCAAATCAATAGGGTCTAGGGGTGAGATCATGGGGACGGCTACGTACCATTCATCTTCGGATTGACCGTTTGTAGGCCCGCCGGTGTATATGGCGTGGCAGCAGACGATGATTAGGTGGGTGTAGTGGGGTTGTTGGTTTTGCATTATGGGTTGGGGTTACGGGCTTAGTATAATGGCGTTGTGTGGAGTGTGAGAGGTGTGTTTAAGGGATGGGGTGTATTCTCATGGGAGAAGTGTTGTTGTAGTGTTCACAAAGTTGAAGCGTTGTTGGTGATGGTGATTGTTGATTAATGTGGATGGAGGTGTTTAATTAGTACAGTACTGACATGTTTATGGGATTACCTAAGCGGGTTATCGATATTGCTATCAATGTTAATGCGTAAGAGACACGAGGATAATATCATTGGATACATTGATTATCTCTGTTAAGCTTAAAGCTACAGGGAGGAAAGAATTGAACAAAGGAAATATGGTCGCTGGTTGTTTCGGCGGCAGATAAACCCTTGCCACGGTTGATCACTATTAATGTACATGCTAGTCTGCTCGTTCTTGAGCAGCCACACACCCTGAACGCCAGACACAGCATCAACACACTCAGAAACGTGTAGCCGATAGAGAGAATAAGACATATAATCGTAATCCTCACGCAACACCTTAGATACTCCACATATGGTATGCTCCGAAATGAGATGCGTGACGCTATGAAAATTCTGCCAACATAAGGAAAGGTTGGGACACCGTTGATTGACAATGCAACACATGCAAGGCAAATGTACAATGGTAAGGTGATATAAAAATGCGAGAATGTGAAATTACAGAAATGTATAAATGAAGGAGAACCAAGAGGGGTATCAGGAGAAGAGAAAGAGAAGCGTCAGTCCAAGGGATCATGGCGGAACGTGCATTCGTCACCTTTGCGGCACTTGCCTTCTCGCCAGTACCGACAAGGAACCAATCCTGCTTTGGGCTAGAGTTATATTAGCATTGGAGTAAAACAATGCAAAGTGAGGGGCACTTACATGCTTCTTGTTCGGCTCATTTGATCTGCTTCGTTTGGAATTGAACCTTTCATCGTCGTTTCCGTCATATCCGCCGGTTTCACGTATACGCTTCCGCTCCGGATCCTCGTAGTGACCTGGCGGCGGATGCCCATTGGCCGCAGCTGATTGGTTTTGACTAGTTAATTGGGAAATAATAGCGGCCAGATTAGGAGCGATGCTAGGTTGGGATGGCTGGACCTGCGGTACAATGGGTGCAGGTTGCATCTGCTTTTGAGCATTGAAGATCGACAAAAGTCCCTGAAAATCTACACCCTGAGCAGCTTGAGGCTGAGAAGCCGGTGGGAACTGGGGCATTTGCAGCAATGGTGCCTGCGGAGGCGGGGGCGGCTGCTGCTGCTGCTGCTGCTGCTGCTGCTGGCGGAACATGCTGAAGGTTCGCTCAAGATCAGACATGGGTGCTTGGGCGACTTGGGGTTGAGCTAGTGGTGGAGTAGATTGTTGCTGAGGCGCGCTTTGGATGATCTTGAGTAAATTCGAGATATCGAATGGCGCGTTCGGTGCGCTCTGGGGAGCTGGTGCTGGCTTAGGGTTCACCATCGCGAAGTATCGATCTTGTCGGGCCTAGCACGGTTGTCAGAAGACGTCGAATGCAAGAATGGGAAACGAAACATACCTTGACATGGTCCGGTAGTTCCCCAAAGGAAACAACTTCGGGGGCGGTGTCTTCCGCTTCCGCTGGGGGAGGTTCCTTTGGTGTCGACGGTACGTCTGCTGGCGAGGTATAGAAGACCATAAGCGTTGTGGCCTCCCGATGCTCCTGAGCACTCTTTTCAGGACTAGTCGGCTCAGCAGTGCCGCCGCGCTTGATGTAGTTTCTCGCGCGATCGTCGGGTGCGATGTCGCCGTTGTCAATTTCTGAGTCGGTTAGTATCCAGACACAAAACGACAACATCACAGAATTAACGACCTACCCGAAGGCTCATAGTAGTCGAACAATTGCTCTTCACGGATGCCACCGTCATCTTCCTCCTCAAGCTCGTCGAGGTCTCGGTGAAGTTTTAGCACACTGCCTTCACCCTTGACATCTCCCAGGTGATCGCCAGGGCCGAGTTCTTCTTCAGGGTCATGCGTGAATAGACGAACTTCCGTAAGTGACGCATCAGGCTTCCATGTGACACGCAACTTCCGGCGTGCCTCTTTACGCAACCTCTTCTTCCGTTCTTCTTCGGTCTCGGGGGGTCTATCCTCCGCAGGCTGTACAGGAGCAGGATCCTTTTGCTTGTTCAAATCTGCCATCAAATCCCCGAATGAGAAAGTAGGCCTTGGGGGCGGGGGTTCCTTCTTTTCCGCAGGGTTACTGCTCATTATGTTAGCCATCAAACTAGCAGAAAGATAATGAAATGACACGCACCTTGCTTTCGCTGCGGCCGCCGCGGCCGCTCGCTCTGCGTTCGATGTTCCAGGTCTTTTAGAGGCCGAGCTCAAACTACCAAACAGGCTGGTAGGTTTCGGTGCAATTATGTTGGCCTTGGGGCGGGTTGCATTAGCTGCAGCTGGTTTGCTATCTTGTCCTACCTCCTGCGGGCGTTTGCTGACACCAGAAACCACAGTGCTGTTTGGTTTTGCTGCCGGTTTGGGGTGTGCAGGGACAACCATTCGCTTGGTTGCTGGTTGCCCATTCCCTTCACCTTCTCTGGGCCTCTTAGATCCACTGCCCTCACCACCACGTCCATCTGGGACGGGCCCGTCAGCCACTGAAGGTTTAGGCGAACCG